GTCTGCTGTCCATGATATCCCGTGTTTCCTTCCAAATATGGCGGTGCCTAGGGAGTCTGCTGGCTCTACATATTGTTTGAACAGTTACAAGGATGATCTGCAACCAACCCTTTTTGTGCCCTTGCAGGCTTCTTTATTATGTCTTTTCTTTGGCTTGGGGATTCTGTCTCTGTGCTGGTACTGTTCAAAGGCTTCCTGTGATTAGACTGGTCAATACCATGTTGAATATGGACTGTTTCGATTGGGACCTCTGTCCAGGATCGGAGATGATGTCTGGAAGGATTGCTACCTGCTTACTGGCCTTGTGACGTTGACTGGCTTGGTTGTGTTGATGTCTATATTTAGTACATACCACTGAACACGCTTGTTGAAGACTCTTAAGGTATTTTCACCTGGCAGTTGAACGTGGCTCGTCTACGTGCCATGACCGCTGTTCGTAGGCTGTGATGCTGGAGGTACTCTCTGTGGCGGGTGCGGGGCAAGTGACCCGGCGGCCCCAGTGACTGTCGTCATGGACAAGCCAGCAGCTGACCGGCTCACCAAGGCACATCTCTTGTTGGTCTCACAAGAACAGGCCGGCTGAGAAGGCTATTTATTCGGTTTCTTATATCATCCCTCTCTGGGCCCGCTTGCTGCTTTCTTTCCTTGATCCTCACCGTCTTCTGGTGGTAGCGATGTGCTCAATTGCACTCGCTGCGTGACATCTCGGCCAAGACGTCATAGACCTTCCACCACATGTGACAGCGCCTAGACACAGCCAGCGCCGGCAGTACGCTTTCGCATTGGAAGCTTCCCACCCATCAACGCTAGCCAGCTCGAAGATCCCCGCCTGGACATCTGCAACTACGCAGGATAGCTGCAACTCGTGGTGAAACGTCGAGAGAACCGTTTGCTTTGAGTCTGCTGGACCTGACAGGCATTCCACAATGTTTGCCAGCAAGCGTCTGAGCAAGGTATGTGATACCGTTTCCTCTTTGACCTGCTGTGAGCTAACTGGAATGTATGTGTAGGAACTCATTAAGGTACTTGAACCCGGGCCTCGTTCCTCCTTTGCATCTCCTTCATCACCACATGCTACGAATATCTTGTCTTGAGACACCCATCTAACCCGGCTATATAGATGCAGGGCCACCTGCCGCCCGGAATCTCGATCGTCAAGTCGGACGATTTCGAGGAGTGGCAGATGGACATCAAGGTTCTGGACTCGAATCCGCTGTACCAGAACGAGACGTATCGTCTGAAGTTCACCTTTGGCTCGAAATATCCCATCGGTGGGTGAACCTGTCAACACACTGTTCCATTCATCTTCATTTCATTTCCTTCCCACCAGCTACACCTGACCTCGAACTAACATGACCTGCTACCTGCAGAGCCGCCAGAAGTCCAGTTCATCGAACTACCCCCAACATCGGAAACCCCTCGCCCGATCCCGATCCACCCCCACATCTACAGCAATGGCATCATCTGCCTCGACCTGCTCAGTTCCGCGGGGTGGTCGCCCGTGCAGACGGTGGAGAGCGTCTGCATGAGCATACAGAGCATGCTGACGGCGAATTCGCGGAATGAGCGCCCTCCCGGCGACAGCGATTTCGTCAACTACAACCGGCGGAGACCGAGGGATATTAACTTTTTCTATGATGACGATAATGTCTAAACTTTCATTGATGATTTTACTTCTCTGCCCTGCTTTTTACAATTAGGTAGTAGGGCAGACCGTTGCTTCGTTATTTCCTCATTCTTCACTCATGCCTGGTTTAGTTTTTTCTCTCTCCAGACTTTAGACTCGATCCATTATAGTATAGCACTGTACTGTATTCCTATTCCTATTTCTATCTCTATTTCTCTATTCCTCCTTCTGCAGTCACAGTCCATGTCTTATGTTCTTTTTTTTGGACCGGTGTTTTGGTTTGGGGATTTCGTTCCATCATTCATTCTTCACTCTTCTTCTGCACTTCTTTTTGCACTCGCATTGGCATTAAGATGAGAGACTTCAATGGTGTAATACTCCTGAAAACGTTGCAAATAAAAGAAAAGTAACAAAAATTCCAGCCCTTCTTTTTTCTCCTCAGATCTCACGTCATTGTTTATTCTATTCTATTCTATTTTCTAGGTACCTCCTATGAAATACACGCAGTAAGTAGTACAGTACTTACATACTGAGTACTCACGCTCAGAGTCAGGTTTTAGCTAGTCCCTTTATTTATTTATTTATTCCATTCGTCACATTACTTTTTTGTACTCTATTTAGTTAACTAATCTCCCCAAGGGATGGACTGTACTGTACTGTACCAAACAGAGCTTTAAGGGTATAGCTTTCACATGAACATGATATTTTCTCTCTCTCTATTGGACACAGATAGACTGGCACTCCTCGCTCAGTCACTATACACACAGCACAGCACAGCACAGCACAAGCTTTGCAGGCAGTTCGACAGACACGCACAAAGGAAATAAATAGCAGGTGATGGGCTACAAAACGACATGAGAAAAAAAACTGCAGAGAGATCCTTAGAAGGGAATAAGTGTAACAGTAACAAGATAACGCCATTTGTGAAACTGCATGCTTGTGCAGTAAAAGAGAAAATCGAGTTTGTCATCTATCTAACTGCCTCTTGCTTCTGCCTCCCCGCCGTTATTCTTCTTCTTGTTTTAACGGTCTACTTCTCCAAACACGAGATCCATAGTACCTAGAAGAAAGAAATATTAGTGGATGATCGTTGCTTGAAGGAGCGCAACTGAACTCACCGATGATGGCGACCGCGTCGGCCAACAGGTGACCTCTTGCGACCTGATCGAAACCGCCCAGGTGGGCGAATCCAGGTGCCCGGATCTTGCACCGGTAAGGCCTCTCGCTACCGTCACTGACGATGTACACACCCATCTCACCCTTCGGGGCCTCGATCGCCGTGTACGTCTCGCCCGGCGGCACCGTGTAGCCCTTGGTGAAGAGCAGGAAGTGGTGGATGAGGGCCTCCATGTTCTCCTTCATAGCCGCACGAGGCGGTGGGCTGATCTTGTAGTCCTCCACCTTGACGGGTCCGGCGGGCATCTTGTTCAGGCACTGGTGGATGATCCGGAGAGACTGGCGGAACTCCTCCATTCGGCACAGGTAACGGTCGTAGCAGTCGCCGTTGACACCAACGGGAACGTCGAATTCGACCTGATCGTAGGCATCGTACGGCTGCGACTTGCGCACATCCCACGGCACACCGGAACCACGGAGCATGACACCCGTGAAGCTCATGTTCAGGGCATCCTTGGCGCTGACAACTCCCACGCCCTGGGTTCTCGCCTTCCAGATCCGGTTGTCCGTAAGCAATTCTTCCGTCTCGTCGATCCGGTCACCGAATTGAGTGGCCCATTGGTAGATATCATCGAGCAGACCGAGAGGCAGATCCTGGGAGACACCGCCGGGGCGGATATAGGCGGCGTGCATACGAGCACCCGAAACGCGCTCGTAGAATTCCTGTACATAACAATCTCTATGTCAGCAGACTGTGCAACGGCTGCTAATACAGGTTGTCATCGCCAAGGCTCACCATCAGCTTCTCTCGCTCCTCGAAACCCCACAAGAAGGGAGTCAATGCACCGACGTCCATTGCGTGGGAGAGGACGGACATGAGGTGGTTGAGAATTCGGGTAATCTCTGCGAACATGGTTCGGATCCATTTGGCTCGCTCGGGGACTTCAATGTTCAGCAGCTTCTCCACCGCCAGGGAGTAGCATTGCTCGTTCGTCATCATGGAGACGTAGTCCAACCGGTCAAAGTACGGCAGAGCCTGCATGTACGTCTTGTATTCGATCAATTTCTCCGTTCCGCGGTGCAAGAGACCCACGTGAGGGTCTGCGCGAACGATCTCCTCGCCATTGAGTTCCAGGATTAACCGCAACACACCGTGCGCGGCAGGGTGCTGAGGTCCGAAATTGACGGTGTAATGGCGGATCTTGCGATTGTGCTCCGTCTGGGATTCCAATCCCGCCGCCCGCTCATCTGGATTCTGGTCATCTTTGAGATATGAGAAATTGGGATCAGTGGGAATGAGCCGGGTTGGTTGATAGCTTGCAGGCTCGGCTGCTCGTCGTGAGGGGGAGGTGGCGATGGAGCGGGCGAAAGGAGTCGTCGTCGCAGCTCGAAACAGAGAAGGCTGGCGGCACAGCCTCTTCGGCACTTGGCCGACGAAGCGAGAAAGCGACGAAGCCATCTTGGGAGAGAGGAGAGGAGTGAGGAGGAGGGCGACGAGGAGAGAGGGTTCAGAGTCGGAACAATTGAGGTTGCTGGCGTGTGTTTCCGAGCTCAACAGGAATTGCAGGGATTGCTGCCTCAGGTGTCGTTCTTGCAATTCGCGCCGCATCGATTGGCTGGATCGGTAAACATCACGTGATGACCAACATCTGCGGATCTCTCGCAGCACGGAACACATCGGAGGACTGGAGGAAAATACGCCATAGGAAATCAAAGGAAATGGGCATATTGCATCCATCAGCTAGATAAAATAATTCTCATCTAGTCTAACCACATAAGCGGACACTCCTAGGTTATATTTTCTCCCTAATATTGCAATTGAAAATTGGCCTCCTTGTGAAAGATTGATCTCTCTTTCTTATTAACTCGTATCTATTTCACGACTAGGGGATATGAATGCATGAAATTGATACTGTACTATTCCTCTCAAGAGCCATGACCATGGGGATAGCTAATCATCTTTTGTTCGAAGCTCATTGGATACGCCAGACTGCGGATAATCAGCCGCCACCGCCTTCCCCACCAGCGACGGCTAGCTGCTTGCAGAAAAAAAAAGTTCTTGAATCCGTTATCATCGTCAAGCTTCATCCCACCACTCCTCCCCGCAGAAGCCAGCAGGCATGGCGCCCGTCACTCCGTCGCAAGAGGAGCTTGATCGCAGAAGGGTAATTTCTATCCCGTCCTATTTGCACAGTGCTGGTTCCCATAGCTGACTGCATATCAATGAAAGATCGTCAACATCAATGCGGAGACTGTCACGAACATTTCCTCGACTGACTTTCCAGGCCATTGGCCAGGTGAATCACATGAGTGGTCTCTAGAGAAATTCAGGAGGGTATGTTATTGGACCTCTCAGGTGACAGTGTTGGAAAACTAAGTTTGGTCTGGCAATAGAACTTTCGAGTCGAGTTCCACCGTAATGACCCGTACGATGCGTCGTTTTCTCTGATCGGGCTGGATGCAGCAATTGCAAATGCGTTTCGACGAATCCTCCTCGCTGAGGTTCCCACCCTTGCCATCGAATTCGTCTTCGTCCATAACAACACCTCCGTCATCCACGATGAAGTCCTGGCGCAGCGACTGGGACTGATCCCACTCAAAGGCTCGATAGAGGGTATCAATTGGTTACGATGGTTCAAGAAACCGACCGACGATGATCCCGACAGTGGCAGCACGCCTAGCGATTATAATACGATTGTCCTGCGGCTCGACGTCGAATGCACCAAGAACCCGAATGCAGCACCGGACGAGGATGACCCTCGGAAGCTCTACAATCACGCTCACGTATACGCGAAAGACATCACCTTCCATCCTGTCGGCCGTCAAGAGCAATTTTTCTCCGGCGACGGTGCCATCCGCCCCGTCAATCCAGACATCCTGATCGCGAAGCTGCGGCCTGGGCAGAAGATTGAGATGGAAATGCACTGTATCAAGGGCATCGGCGCTGACCACGCAAAGTTCTCCCCCGTCGCGACTGCGACCTATCGCCTCATGCCGGACATCAAGATTCTCAAACCCATTATCGGTGAAGACGCCAGGAAATTTGCCAAATGCTTCCCACGCGGCGTTATCGGCCTGGAGACCATCACTCCTGAGGAGGCAGCCCAGGAAGGCAGTGGCTATGAAGGCCATGCAGGGGATGTAAAGGCTGTCGTTGTGGATCCATTCAAGGACACGGTCAGCAGAGAATGCCTCCGACACGAAGAATTCCAAGGCAAGGTCAAGCTGGGTCGGATCCGCGATCATTTCATCTTCAACGTCGAGAGCACCGGCCAGTTCCCCAGTGATATGCTCTTCTTGGAGAGTGTAAAGGTGCTCAAACTCAAATGTGCAAGATTGAAGCGAGATTTGTCGAACCTCATGCGGTGATGATCTTTCTACAATCCTGTCGCGAACGGCTATTCTTTTTTTTTTCCTCTATTGTCTTTTATTCAGGATGCATTTGTTGGCGTTTCCGTCTGTTTGACAAAAACTGTGACGACTTCGGGTGGATATTTTTTTTGTCTTCTACTTGTTAATATGGAGTTGGTGATATGGGCAACTAAAAAACAGCACTGTCATCTAATTCATGTAGATAGACAAGGGGCCTGATTTAACGGTATCGAAACCTAAAAGTAAAGACCAATGCTGTTTTCTTTTCTCTCTCTACCTCTCGGTAAAGACTGTATTTACTCTGGATCTATTGGAAGACAAGCTTGTATCGGAAATCAATCTGGAAGGCCGGATCGCTGACGGCAATTTCCTGCCCGTTGGACACCAGATCCTTGAGCTTGCGACGGAGGTTTGGCCGTGTCTGCTCCTCCAACTGCGGCGGGAAGCGCTGGTAGAGTGTTTTCTCCTCCGACCGCAGGCTGGGCTTCTTCAGCTGCGCCTCCGGCCGCTCTCCCAGGCTCTCAATAAACATTTCCAGCGTAATCTCGGGATCCACGACAATCGTCCGCGCCAGATTACCGCACACAGGACAGTCGGGCTTTTGCTCTGCGGCAAAGGTGTACGTGTAGACCCCTTCCTCACCCGCGTACATCATGTAGTTCTCCAGGTACGGGTTGCAGGACGTAGCAATCTTGAGCGCTTCGGATGTGGTAGATGCGGCGATAACTGCATTTGTGGAGGCGATGGCCGGAATGATATTCTTCACGACACCTTGTGTCATTTGGAACGTGACGCCGGTGATGCCGAACTGCTTTGCTCGTTCAAGCGCGGTCTGATAGATCCAGGAGATATGCTCCATGTTGTCGCTGTCGAAGGGCTCGTCTTTCCGCTTCTCCTGCCACGCGATCTGATGAGCCCACTCGATGCAATGTTGAGGCTGTCGGGGGATGGTTGCGATGGTGCAGAGAGGAACGGCGGCGCGAGGAGCGTGCATATCAAGCTGGCACTCGATGCATGATGTGAGTGTCGGTAGGATGACTCGAGCCTGTCCCTTGAAGCCTGTTTCGCAGTGTTTTCAGAGCTTAGCAGCAAGACAAGTCGAACAGAATGAGCAAGACAAACCTTCGGTACCACCGTCAATCAGTGGCTTGAGGCTCTCGGGATTTTCTGGATCTACCATGCCCACAAGTGTGGAGTTGATCCATCGACGTGCTTCGACACTGTCGAGCCCGCAGACAATGATCTTGAATTGCATGTAATAATCCTCGTCTAGGTCCTGGATCTTACCCACGTAGGGTGTGATCTTGACCCCCTTGACGCGCTTCTCCACAAAAGCAGCTGCAACTTCGGCTTTCGGTTTCCCTACGTCAGATTGGCGGAATAAGAACTGACGATTCAGGTTGGAGATATCTATTGTGTCTGCTAGGCATCAGTAACAGATTCAAATAACATGGTCGGCGTGTAGCTCACCCATGTCGATCACATGGATGTCTTTAAAGCCTGACAGCGCGAGATTTTTCAAGATTTCACATCCCAGGCCTCCAGCGCCTCTGTTGGTACATTAGTTTCGTGCAATTCAGACAAGCAGTAGTGGAACGAACATAACTCTAGATATCGTTAGCAGCTGCTAGTAAGAAAGTAATGTGACCTAACTAACAGAATTTTTGATGTCTCCAGTGCTTCAATTGTCTCAGGTCCAGGGACCCAGTCCTCATCACTGAAAGGACCGCGTTTGTTAAGGACATTGTAAAGATGCTTCCTGAAATAATATGAGCACCTGTTGACACCATGGAACTGTTTCAGGACGCACCATCTAAGACCAGAACTAGCTTTCTGTGTTTTGAGAGAAGGCATCTTGACGAATGCTGAAGTGGAAAAATGGAAAATGGAGGTTGAGGATTCAGGCAATGATCTCGAATGCGATATATGATGTCCTTGTTCAACAGGTAAGTGGGGCAGAAGTAGACGCCTAACAGAAAGCTAGGCAGTCACTTTGAAAGTGAAAACCAATAGAAATGTTGATAGAGCAATGATGTTCTCTATACCTTCATTAAGTGACCCCCGATCCTGTCACTATTCTTTCCATGCGTGAATATGTGTCGAGATTATCATTATCGATCAAGCAATGCGGAGAGGCGGAGGCGCCCCGCACGTGACGCGTGGTCTCCAAAAAGGGAATCCACCACTGCCTCTTCTTCACCAACCACCATTTCGCCGCAATATGTGATCATGCTTGCTTCGACGACACAAAAATGGGAGACTTTCTGACAGCTGTGAAAACCACACGTCATGATCAGGTTGCGTCGAACTCGAGCCTTGATGAGAAGCACACTGCCAAGGAATTAGTGACAGAGGCAAATAATCATGCTGATCGTGATCCTTCATCTCCAGAATATGTCTTGGGGGTATTGAAATTTAATCCCTCTCACGATCAGCTATATGATGTCTTGCACACACTGGATCCTGCAAACAGAAACAGAGAAAATAAGACGTTTGACATTAGAATCGCCAGTCCCATAACTGCTCAAATTCTTCAGATCTTAGTCAGCACCACGATTCCTGACCACTGGAGGAGTCTTGAGACCGATTCCAGCAAGCGTGGAGCCCACGAGCAAAGTACAAAGCTACAGAAAATAAGGGGTGCTCTGTTAAGATGTCTTTGCAGCATAACGGGTATCAGCGCTATAGTGACCCAGCTGCGCACTCTAATCACTGCTCTGCGCTCTGCGCCAGAGCATGAAAAGGAGTCTGGCAGAAAGCTGGTGATTCGAGACACGTTAGCCGTTCTTTCGGCTCTCTTGAAACCGAAAGATCTACTAGTTCGCCTTTATGAGGACGTTTCTTCGCTGTATACCACTGCGACGAAAACGCAAATTGCCTGGAAAGAACTATGCACTCTTATCGCTGGTGGAAGGGTCCTATCGACCGTAGCAGAGGCTCTGTCATGTATCAAAGACCTGGATGACTTGGATTCGATCTCATGGGTTGGCGAAGGAAGCCAATATGCGTCTTGGTTGGGCCAGAATCTGTATTCAATGGTGTCTAACGGAGACCTCGGTAATGAGGAATTCTGGAAGTCTACGGCACTGATGACTGGCCGTGCGCTCAGCCTTGGCTATACTGGTAAGGCTTAGGTACTTTTGTGAGAAGATTTATGGCATTCTAACATTTCCACCAGATCAGCTTGTGAGGGAGTTATATTCGAGTCTTCTTAACGACCAAGGCTTCTCAACACGTTGGGGACCATTCTTCGACTGTCTACGCCTGCAAGAGCAGACAACTATATTAGAAAGTATTTTTCGTGACGTTGAGAGAACCTATTTTTCACAAGAGGATGGCAAGGGGAGTGAGAGAGATGAGATTATCGGCAGCTTAGCCGCTCTCTTCTCCTGCATCATAAACAACAGAGCTCCTCTAGAACTTCAGGTTCAATCTTGGCTCGCGACAGGTCAAGGGGGCTTCATTCAAAGTATCGGACTGCGCCGTTCGCTTTTAGTTCATTACTCGAACAAAGAGGGTAAGGTTTTTCTGTGTGTATGGTTCTTAGAAGTGGCAGCAGCTGACTTATCCCGTTCAGAGGCTCTTAAGGATTTGTTCAGGAAAAGTCTCAGTAACTTTGGAGACAGCTTTATTATCAAGCACACTCCGGTACCAACTCAAGAAGGTCTGCTATCTCTGAAACCTGTCTGGTTGTGGAGCACTGGCTGATTCCTCACAGCGAACGCGCAGGTGGTTTTGTTGGCAGGTGGCTATCTAAATCGACTATGCAAATCAGAGATACAAGAGGTCGGACGATCGGGTCTTTACCTGAATGCGGTCTCGAACCGCTTGGCAGCATCGTCATCTAGAGCTCGCTTTTTGGGCATGATAATTGGCATGGGCATTTCGCAGCTGATTGAACCGCCGGGAAAGGCCATGAAGTTTGACCTTGAAGAAGTGGAAACTGAGGAAGCTCGATGGTATCTGGGTCTGACAAATGTGGACGACAAAGTTAGATCGCTTGAAACATTGCGGGATCGCAAGCAAAATGAGACGAAGCGACCGCGTAGGAAACCGAAAGGCCCCTCAGTGTCCAGCTCTCAGCCATCTCGAGGCCAACAAGCTGCTGCTGGCCAATCATCAAAGATTGTCGCTATAGAAGAAATATCCGATGATGGGGAAGAGGAAGACGACCTCGTACCTTACGAAAAGCCAGACTCTGACCCCTCTGACTCTGAGGAAGACCCGACATTAATTCAACGATCAAAGCCGACGAGTCCTGTGTAAGTGATCCGATTCTGACTATCTTGATGACAATCGCTTACGGAGTAAACTCAGGTATATCCGTGATCTATTGGCGTATCTGCGAGACTCGGATAATGTCGATCGCTACCATCTAGGCATCATAAACGCATCGTCCCTCATACGTCGTAAATCCGCCTTCGGCACTGAGCTCGTGGAAAAGATCGAGGAACTGGCTCTTGCCATTGTTGGTCTTCAGGACAAGTACAAACTGCCACAGTTTCACGAACATCGGTTACAGAGCATGATTGCGCTGCTCGTTGCCCAGCCTCTCAGAATGGGCCGGTGGTTTTCACTCACATTTTTCGATGGAGATCTGTCACAGGCTCAACGCTCAGCAATTCTGACGGCGCTAGGGCTGAGCGCTCGCGAGCTTGCAGGGTATGGAGAGGAGGACGCGAAGGTCCTCGGGCTGCCATCAATTTCACCAGAAGCATCCTTCCCTTCAAAGAAACTCCCTAGCCATTTGCAGGGGATGTACCTCACCGAGGGAGAATCGCCCGTGGCTGCACTCACGAAGCAACTCTCCCGGACATCACTGCAACCACTGGCCCTCGAGGCTGCGGATGCCGCTACGGGACCGAACGCCCTGAAGGTGCGCACCTTCTCGTCTCGCATGGAAGTGGAGAGGCAGCGCCAGCAGCGGGAGGCGCAGAGGAAGAAGAAATCCACGTCACAGGACCTCCACCGGGTGCTGTCCGAGGGATACTTCTATCCGCTGGTCGGACGCTTCGGCATGATGATGCATTCTACTTCGTAAGTTCCCCTCGCCAAGTCAACAATTTCTTTTCTTTAGGACTGATTTACTAATAATAATACAAGGTCATCAACGTCCTACAACCCCTTCCTGACACCTAATCTCCTCCGCCTATTCCTGCAGACCCTCACTCTGATCCTGTCCACTCTCGGTCCGCACACGCCCTCTCTGCCATCCCTCAGTCAGGAAACCCTCTCCCTGATCCTCTCCCTCCACGCGACCCCCGTCTCAAGCGAACCGATCGTCCTGCCCGCATTACTGTCCCTCTTCCTCGCCGTGATTGACCTCAACATTGGATCGGGCACTTCGGGCGAAGAGAGACTGGTCACCGAGTACGCAACACAGGTCATGGAGCTGCGGGAATGGGCGAACGACGTGTTCGAGAGAACGCCCGCGGGGGGCAAGAAAAAAGACGCTGATGGAGGAGACGTGGACGATCTGGAGCAAGTGCGGATCTTGGCCGCAGGAATCTTGGTGAAACTCAATGAAGTGGTGCAGAGGTATCAGGGACGGCTAATGGGGGTGAACGTTGGGTTCAAATATTAAATAACGTAGATTACGTTGCTTTGTTGGTTGTAGATACCATAATCCAAAAGAAATATAAATAAAAAAACCTCTCTGTACTCTGTACTTTGTCTACTCAGGAATAGGCCAGTCCATAGGATTATTTATATTCTTCATCATAACAAACCCGTAACAGACATAACATTCCATAACTCAAAAAGCAAGAAGAAGAGCAAAACTAGCTCGAATTCAATAAATACCAAAGCGTTCATGAAGGCTGGCTAACTAACTAATTGCCTAAGGCTACGCTGTCTTTGCTGCGAAGCTGCCCTTCTCCATGGCGGCTTCCATCATTCGATCCCCGCTAATGATACTCGTCGTGCAGATGACGATCTTCCTCTGCTGCAGCGACTCCTGGCGGGCGATGAAGCGCAATGCCGCTATCTCGGTGAAGGTGATCCCACCGAGGAAGAAGACATAGACCATCTTCGGCCCTCCGGTGCCACTCAAGGTCTGTCTCGCCCGGGCCGCTTTGTCGTCGCCCTTTTGGACGACGCTGAATGTCGCGCCTCGTGCGCTCTTTACCACGTCTTCGAAGCCGATCCATCCCGGGGATGCCGCGCTGGCGCTATTGACAGCCGCTGGGGCTGATCCGCCTTTGGTCAGCGACAGAATGTACGGTTTCTGAAGGACGCATTGCACCAGTCGGACACTCAACGGGGCAAACCCGCTGTAGACGTAGGCTATATCATTGGGATCCTTCTCGCTGACCTCCTCGACTACGAGTCGAAGATGCTTCCGAAGATACGAATAATTCGTTTTCGTCCCCGCGCTGGCACCTCCGCCAGGCAGTAAAGCAGCAGTGGCCGAGGAACGAGGCTGCAGGAGCTCCATCTTCTCCAGGGAGCGGAAGGTTAGCAGGTGTTGATATCCATAGGCCTGTAATATCAGTTTCTTGAAATTCTCCAAATCTCGCGGTCGAAGCCCTCCAGACATGCAGGACTCCAGACATAGTAGACGAAGAACTGTCTTTAATGGCACATCCCGTGCAATAAGCTCTTCGATATTCTCATGCTGATAGGTTGGATCGGAACCAGCGGCATTATTTTGTTGGACTTCAAGGACCTTTCTGAATATGTCTGAACGCGTCTGGCGCATGATATCCTCAGCCAGGTTTGTATGGACTTTTAGGCTTTGATGTTCCTGTTGATACGCCGGCAATTTGTTTACGAATTCGCGAAGCTCCGAGGTTGTCTTGGCCGAATGACGGCTCTCGTAGTCGCTTTCCAAGCGGCGCGCCACCTTATTCAGGATGTCGCCAACAATGGCAAAGTTTGCATCTCGGAGTTGGCTGAAGAGCTGATCGGAAGAATCCAGCTGAATCTTCCGCTTAAGACTCTGCTTTGCCGCCGTCTGCGACGCGGAGGACGACGCCTGAGAAGAGGGCGGCTGAGCGGCTGGGCCCATAATACTCGAATCGACATCAGCCTGGTTGTTTTTGATTCCAACGAACTCATCTATCAGTCCTTCATAGGTGAGCTGCGTCAGAAGAGGAGTGCCAAAGTCGACCTCACGGTCGATGATGATCAGATTCTCGATCGACGCGCTTGGTAGACTTTGTTTCCCGAAGCCATTACTTGATGCCGAAGACTCTTCCGCCTCTACCTCCTTTCTCATGCGGACCAGAAGATCGGCCAGGCGCCGTGCATTATCACCTTTTCCGACGATGCGAGGAAAGTAGCCGTGCCTCTGCTGAATTTGCATCAAGGCCTTGGCTGCAAGAAAGATGCACCCAGGATCCTTGTGCTACGTTCGATATCAGCATGGAAAGTGTAATGATCGTTTCTGAACCATTCTTACCAAATACAGATCGCCAAAGGAGTCTTCCAGCTCCAGTGACAGCACATCCTGCTCCAGCGGCAGAAAATACAGAGGCAACTCGGCGATGTTTACGTCTCCGATGACGCCGGCTTCTTCGAGAATCTGGTTGCTTACAAGGGTACGCCGGGGAACCCAGAAGATCGAAATGTCATGCTCTACGTTGCTATTCTGCCGTAGCCGTTTTACCTGCTCTGGTGGGGTGTATGTTAGCGCATTCTGATGGCATTCAGCCTTGGAAGCATAGAGAAAGAAAGCCTTAGGGATGCGCTATGATGCTGACAGTCAATCTAGGGAACAAGACTGATCACGCAGAGTGGGGTAAGCGGTCTGCGCAATCTACTGTTGTCCCATGGGAAGACTTGCAAAAAAAGGCCTCTAAACGGAAGATGTGGATACATAATGTAGGCAGAAGAAAGAAATTTATCAAGATATATTTGGTATGTTACAAAACAAGTTTGTCGCAAGTTCGACGATGAACTTACCGGCAACCGTCGCTACCTGATGCACCTTTTCGGCATGGACAAGGAACACGACATTACGCTGGGACGAGTCGACATTGGCATTCTCAAGCAGAAACACCCGATCCACGCCGTACTCCTGGAGGACAGAAAACTTGACGAAGAGACCGACTGGGCCAGCCAGGTCCTTGCTTATGACCAGATTCTTCTTACCCCGGACCTGCACGCCCAGTTAGCGGGAGACGATTGACACGGGTGGGTTCAGATATGCAGCCTTACTCACGCCTTCAAGGAGAGTCAGGAGGTCCCGTCGGGCCTTGTTCCTGAAGTAATCGGCATCAGATCCGGGATGGGGAGCCATGGCTGCTGAGGGATGCAGCAGCGACAGCAGCAGCTGAAGGGAAGAAATCGAGGTCAGCAATTGGAAGCTTCTTGACGTGACACGGAGATCTGTGCGTGACTTGCCTAGCCGCATCCGGTTAGCGTTGAGGCTGCGCCGCATGCGCCACCGTCGAATCCTGGCGTATGTTACGGTATCGGCGTGACGGCACGTTTCCCAGCAGAAACCCTGGCTTGCGAGCGGGCGGTCACTGCCTTGGTATCCGTATTACCGTCCTCGACTCCGCCTCTGTCTCAGGTTGGGTATGAACAACCCCTGATGATGTGGGCTCACGATCCTCACAATAGACACCCTTCTTCTCTTTGCCTGTTCAGAATTGAGTTGATTCCGAGTGCTTTCATTTTCCCACGTCTTCGTTTCTTAGTCACTGTCCACAATGAAGAAACTTGGCTTAAAGAAATCCAGTGACGGAGACGAAGAATCCAAGCGCCGGGCGCTCTTTGGCTCCAAGAACAGAGACAAGAGTCCCGCCCCTCAAGCCAACCCATATGCCCAGCCGATTCCTACAGATCCCTATACCAGAGCGAAGATCAATGCTGGAGTTGCTCCTCCCCCGCCCGGTTACGATCAAGCGAATGGCGGTGGTCCGAATGGCGGCGCTGGTGATGTGAAGAGCCCTCCCGGTGCGACCGGTGGTTATGCACCTAATCGCTACGGAAACCAGGGATATGGGGCAGACAGATATGGTAGTGGTGGCAGCGGTGCTGGCTCCGGTTCGCGTTACGGCCCTGGTGGCTACGGCGGACTGGGAGGAGACCCGAATGTCCCTGAGGACGCCGATCGAGAAGCGCTCTTTGGGGGTGCACGTGAGAGACTCCAGCAGCAACAACAGAATGGCCCGCCTCCGCCGTACAGTGCAACTGGTGCCAGTGGTGGATATGGAGACGGGGATGTGCCCTCGACGACGGCCACCTACCAAGAGAGGAATCTCACGGCCGAGGAAGAAGAGGAAGAAGAAGTGCAAGCGATCAAGCAAGAAATCCGAATGATCAAGCAGGGGGACGTTGCTTCCACCCGGAACGCACTGCGGGCTGCCGCTCAGGCCGAAGAGACTGGCCGCAACACTCTGGCCCGCCTGGGCGCCCAAGGCGAGCGGATTCACGACACCGAGCGGGCTCTCGATATTGCTGCGAGTCAGAACCGCATCGCTGAGGAGAAAGCTCGAGAACTGAAGACGCTTAACCGGAGCATGTTCGCCGTGCACGTCTCCAACCCATTCACGAAGAACCAGCGACGACGGGAGCGGGACGAACAGATCCTCCAGACGCACCGGGAAGAACGAGCAACACGGGAGGGAACCCGGCAGGAGGCGTACCAGACCAACCTGCGGATGGAGCGGACATTCCGCGAGATCGAACGGGAGGCGAACAAGGCGGCGCCGAAGACGAAGAAGAACCTGAGCGAGCGGGCCAAGTACCAGTTCGAGGCCGACAGCGAGGACGAGAGGATGGAGGACGAGATCGAGCAGAACCTGGATCTGTTGGCGGGGGCGGCCAGCCGGCTGAACGGCCTCGCTCGAGCGACGGCACGGGAGCTGGACGAGCAGAACCGCCATCTGGAGCGTATCATGGAGAAGGTGAGCTGCGCCGCAGTCAGAATGACTACCGTTTTTCATATGCTAATTCGTTGATTCCAGAGCGACCGCGTCGACGACCAAATTGTGATGAACCGGGCAAGACTGGATCGTATTCGTTAGAAGCGATCCTGTCGAAAGTTCTACAGTTCGATCAACTTGCACATACATACATACATTTCCTTTGTCGCTGTTCATTCGAGTCCATCTCTACACGTAATATTCTCTTTGTTTTAATTTCTTGTCTTAGGCGGCGTTATCGGAGTTTGATTCCCTCTGTGCTCTGTTTTCGGAATCCATGTTAATAAATCAGATAGCTAGATTGCATATCTTATTGCTATTGCAGGGTGAACTCCACTGCCTTCGTCCCTTTTTAGAGCATGTCACACCTGCAGGATGTCTTCACCGCAACCATAAGCGTCATCTGGTGAAGCGACTGTCAGTACTGGTTTGGAAGGTAATATATAATGCTTCCCTACATGCTGAATAATAAGAAGACCTGCTTGCTTCCTGGCTTCAATATTGTCATTTTCACTATCCAAATATTGGCTCCATTGCTGCACTGCCACACAGTTTTTGTATAAATCATGGAATCATACTGCATATTGCAATGTAAGAGATATGGTGAGATTTATGGCAATATAATACGAATACGAAGCATAGATACCGAATCTAGGAGACACACGATCGACTGTGTAGCCCCCAAAGCTCAAACCAAGCATATCATTAGTAGTCGATTCCTTCGTGGAGTCATACCGCAGGTCCAACCACGAAGGTAAGCCCAGTCTACGTACGTAGAGGAAAGGATCCATCCATATCGTCCTGCGCATGATCAAAATTAAGAGGATCGATCATAGAACTTGGGGACGACAAGATATTCGCTCGTTGAGAGCAACATGGTCTCTGTGGTATGCAATATGCAATATCTAAATGGTTGGTTGCAATTTGAGCATTGTGATTGTTCCCCTGTTAGAATGGAAATTGAAACCTAAAAATATTACCTATGTAGTTTCCTGTCAAAGAAATATGAAAGGAGCAACTGAAAACAATATGTCTCGTTCAGCCGGAGAGCTAGCTCCTTCGAAGGGTGTTTGATAATGAGCCGCATGACGAACAGGTGATCACCTTTCGTCCCAACTCCCAAACAACCAGGTATGTACGGGAGTACGTATGTACATGCATATCTACCTAGTTAACTAACCACTACAGGTGAGTCCGTACACCAATGCATGTAAGTCGCAGTAGGGTAAATCATTAAAATCCTTATGTAGATTGAATGAGCACATTGTTTTAAATTCCTATTTAGGTAGTTTCCAGTTGTTAACACAAGATAGAAAGTTGGAGTCCGTCCTACCATGTAACTAATAGGTATTACCTTATAAATATCTCATTTGTAATGATATTATATTTTTTTATTTGAATGACAGCAAGTTGAGGCTCCTTTCTGCCTAACTATAACTCGCTATGTTCGTAAAAGTACATACACGAAGGATAGGTAGGATCATAGTACATACATATATGTGCCATTCATCCAGTCTTCATAATGTGTCCTGCGGACAGAACGGTTAAAGCTGGTGAAGACACGATGATGGCGATGATAGATGCATTATTAGTAATAGCATGCAGTTTGTTCGTATGCCGTATATACCGAAGCAAAAGCAAAACGGTCCAAACAATCTTGGCGTCGCACATGAGGAAGGCTTCTTGCTTGCTGATCGTAGTGGATATCATCAATAAAACAACAGCAAAGATTCGTTCGTTGCTTCGTAGAGCCCGCCCTTCTGGCTAGAATCACCGCCACTCTCATCTCCGAATTCTTCATAATCTAATGCAATGTTTTTTTATTAAGATCAGTGCATCTGGCACTGATATTTTTTTTTCTTATTTAGGTATTCAGTTTAGTATTTGTACCCGCCCTCGACTTCACCAGGAGTGGGGTGACTAGGCAAGTTGTTGTCTGGATTTGTGCGGTTGTTCCGGCGCCAGAAGCGACGGCGAGATCCGTACGTGTATCCGTTGGCGGGCGAGGGACCGTACCGCTTTTCGCGCTGGTGGTGACGAGCCATGGGGATCTGCAGGAACATGGACACGAGGAAGAAGAAACTGTGTTGCGTTAGTACAATCTGCGGACTGTGTGTCAGCGCGAGGAAACACTTACATTGCGATGATGGACACGGCGAAGACAGTCTTCTCCAGACGGCAGGCCAGACCCAGGTTGGGGAAGTAGGTGAGAGTCTCTCCGTGGCCAAAGCCAAATCCATTCTTGCCATAACCCACGGCCTTGGAGTCGGCCGGGCCCGTGCCCAGCGGGGTGTGCACGTTGCCAGTACATTTCTGCGTGCCGTCACGCGTCAAGACCGCAATGGCAATCATGGCTCCAATGAAGCCGACGTCCAGCACCATGGCGATGAAGCCGAAGAACATGATGCCGCCGAGGCAGACCGTGAACAGCGAACCCAGCAGAGCATAGAGGGTGGCCGCGCCCGCCATGCCCTCGACGGCTCGCATCCATTTGGCAATGGGGAGATGGTGGTTTGCCAGCACAGCCAGGAAGTAGGAGTAGATGCCTAGGATGACAGCCGCAGCGAAGAACTGCAGTATACGGATGCCATTGCTAAAGATGCGCAGGATAATCCCGCCCAGACCCATGTTGGCGATCAGTCTATGCTCTTATGGATGCAGAAGAAGCGTGTTTCGAATGCGATGAAACAACACGGCGGCGAGGGAAGAAGCAGGGATTGTCTTGGATGCCCGCTAGGAGGAGGGGAGACACGGGGATGAAGGAGAAATTTCAAACAAGACGATCATGGCGTGGTTTCTTCAGCGACAGGCAGAAAGATTTTAAATCATTAAACAGTGGTGGGGATAGCTGTAGTACCTCGAAGGGGCGGCGGTGGGGCATGCGGATCCTGCTAAGCCTTAGTGGTGCGTCTGCGGCAGATCAGTGGAGCGGCCCAGGCGGTGAGGAAGGGGCGTGGTTGGCCCGTGGCCGGCCCGTGGTTGCCCTGCACGCGGCAAGATTCGCTAGCCCGCCTGAGCTCCAACTCGTGATGTCATGTGCGCCAGGGGGGTAGCATCAGCGTGCCTGCGCGATCCTCAGGGCTCAGGGCAACAGCCACACCGGCAGCCCGTCTTCTGCCAATCAGCCCGCGAAGCGTGGTCCTGCCGAGGCGGTGCTGCGATACGGTCCAATCACCGAGGAATCCACACTCCGGTCTTTGCCACAGACACTGCACCGCCACCCGGTGCTGATCGCCCAAGGTTCAAGCAAGTCAACTTTCCAATTTTAAGGCTGCTCCTTATTATGTTCCCGAGGATCGTGCGGCTGCAGCTCAATCAATGCTAGTACTTCGTATCTGCAGAGCCATAGATCGTGTGAGACCAGTCACATAGATAGAAAGTGTCTAATGTACAGGGCAAAGTACCTAGCTACATGTAGTAACTAGCCCGACCCTTGGGCATCAACAAAAGTTCGCAATGGTGGTCCGATCGTGAGCAAGGTTTGGAACCATTCCTGCTCCTTATCCAGCGGGACCTGGTCCGTTATCATCCCCCGTGGAGTCAATTTTCCCAATGATTCGCGATCCACGGAGTCAGCCGGGAGCCCTGAGACGAAACAGGAAATTATCGGGTGTTCCTGCGGGACGAAATTCTCACCCCTGATTAAGCGCGTCAATCATCTGGAGAATGATTAGAGCGCCGCGACCATGTACTGCACTTCGTGGTACAACATCTCCTATCGTTCGCCTTGATTCGGGACCGCTTCTCCGATCTGGGGATGTTGACCGTCCCTTGCGTCCGACACGCCGGGAATCGCCGCATTTAGCCATGCTCTCCACTCCCTCGGTGTCAAAGACGAGATCGACGCCCATGGCGGCCGTTAAGAGCCGCACCGACCCAACGAGGTCCGTCACCTGTAAGTCCAGCACCTGCGTTGCTACCTATTGCTAGGCAAAATTCTTGCGGTTCTCCCCAAGTTTGAGGACCTTCCGATATGTCTCCACCGTAGCTTAAATTGGCTTATTAACCACAAAGGTAGCTAACCAGAGAGAATCAAGAAAAAATGGGATAAGAATCCACCGCTCAATCCGATAAAACGGATGCCCTGCCGGCAGGGTGGACACGTGCTGTCAAAGGTGTTCGGTCGCACCACCGCCCTCTGTCGCGGAGAGAAATGCATCGCACTTCGCCGACTTCTTCGATCACGCCGCCAATCTCGTCAGAGGGAGACGCGCATTTTGGTCCTGGTAATCAGGGACCACCCGTTTATTCGTGAATATCGCTGCCGCAGATCCCGGATTCATCTGTTATACTAACAGGTTATTATCTTACTCAGAAACTGACTAGTCCATCATTGGACTCCAAGGATCGATTCACTGATTTCACCGCAATCTTGTCGAGTGGATATCTTCGCGTCCATGTAGCGTATTGATTTCACCGTCTTGGTCAGCATGGGCGTCTGCATCTGGGTCGTAGACGGCAGAGTCGAGTGCATATGTGAACGACGGGAGTGACCTTTCTTGGCCGAAAGCGTTGCTGTAACCATCATTGACACGCTGCCTGGTATCTTCAACGTCTGCGAACGCTTACTTTGGTGCTGACAAAGATGCAAAGAAGACGTCAAGTCTTGTAGACAATGTTGAGTCGTTGACAAATTCCAGACTAGAATGAAGGATCCAAAACCGTTGTTATTCTGGATTTATAATTAAACTCAACTGTCGCATGTGGCGACACGATATCTGTGTTCCAATCTATTCTGTTCGTAGAGAACCTAGAAGCCCCAAACAAGATAATATAACAAGATCCCCCAACTTGAAGGAGAGCGGTGCTAGGATACTAGGCTGCCAGCATTATCGTTAATAAATAATGGGCCTTGCATCCTATCACAAGAACAGCGCCAACCACGGCTGATGATTTTTGATGTTTGATGGCATTGTCAACGTGCACGATAAGCCTGTCGTGCAGCAGGCAGTCGATCTCCACTCCTTCCCCACAAAATCGGCGGGTGGCGCTTATGCACCTTAAAGGCGGCGCCAAGCCATCGACAGCATTCACGCAACCGCCAATGGTCGTAGAAGACAACCCGCCTGTTAAACCAGGCAGGGCAGGGTTTAACCCCGGAAATTATGTACGGGCCATCCACCCAGCCTGTAACGCAGTATGTGGTTCTCCGACTGTTGATCTCTGGCGAAGGTTTGGTTCCTTTCAGGCGTCGCTATCGCCTTCCTCGGCCTCTCTGGTCGCTTCCGCACGCAGCTGGTCGACATAGGCCCGCAAGATCGACTCGAGACCTTCATTGCGGCGAGCCAGGAGCATCACGTCGGACACATTGATGGTTGAGCGACCGGCATGTCTACAAGGGCGGACGCGTCAGTTTCCTCAGATTCCCGATTCGGCAAGGTTGATAACGCGTGGAAGATAAAAAATGCCGCGAAGAAGAGAGCAGACATACTTGGCAAAGGCTTCCAAATCTTGACTCACGGTCTCTGCAAAACACACAGGATCGAGTCAGCCCGCTGTGAACAGGAAAGGACATGTCATATCCGGCACACTGTACACACCTATCTGTGCCCAGACCATCTCAGTAAGGGCCCCGATAAACTGCGGCGTCGCATTGACACCGAGCTTGATGGTCTCTTCATCGACAATCTTGCCAATGGCTAGCCACAGAGCGGACTTGAGACGCTGCACAGAGCTGCGGTAAGCTGGTGTACCCCATCAACCTCGACAAACACACGTACCTCTTCCAGGGCAACTTCTTCATCAGTATTGGAAGCCATATTGAAAGGCTATCACGGCCAAATTCAATCCCAGTGACGAGTTGAAGCAACTAGCCGATTGAATAGAAAGCATGAATTATTGACGTCTCGCGAATGACGCGCCGCGACTGCCTAATTAATCGAAGGCGCGCGTGCGGGACGGAGAAAGACAGGGCCGGCAGATCTGCCGCTAAACCGAAAAGGGTCATGCATGACATTCTGCCGGGCGGGCGAGCCTTTCCCAATAATCTTCCTCATGCGGCCAGCTACATCTATCCAACAAGCCTCAGGTTGACCCTTGGATGGGCTGTACCTGGCTGGTGCCTTAAAATACGAGTTCCAGAACTTCTTCTTCTTCTTTTTCTTAAGATAGATACCAATTGAACCGTCACATGCTATTTTAATTGTTTTCTGCACCAGTTTCCGCGAGTTCTTCCGTTCAAAATCCTCATCCGCAAGGAGCCGAGCAGTTCGCGATTCTACGCAGGACTAAGCGAATTACATATCTACTTCCGCTATCTCTGATCGACCGTGCTTCCTGTCTCTATCCGATCAATTGTCAAGCCGAAACCATTATAAGCTATAAACCCAGCACGAGGAAGCGCTACGCCCTCCAAAATGTCCGCCAGCACCCGTGCCGCCACGGCTGAGGCGCCCGACGTCTCCAGCCTCCTCCACGAGTTCTTCTCCGGGATCGCGAACTACTTCATCGACACCCTCCGAAACCTCCATACATCCCTCACCACCCCCAAGGCCCGGTATTGGATCCGCCTCTGCGTCATCGTGGGCGGCTACATCATGATCCGTCCTCTGATCGAGTTGTTCTTCCGCAAGCTGTTCGAGCGGAAAATGGAGCGGGAGGAAGCCCGGAAGAAGGAGCAGGAAGCAGCATTTACGGAGCCCGGGAAGAAGGCCAAGATGTCGGCGAATTCGCTCCGGTCGTCGGGCAAGGTGCTCGGCGAGGTAAACTCGGACGAGGAAGAGGAGATCAACAAGAAGAACGGAAAATTAAGCGGCGTGCCCGACTGGGGGAAAGGTGCCCGGAAGCGCCAGAAGAAGTACCTGAAGAACCTGCAACAGAAGCGCGCCGAGGAATTGACGGAGCAGGAAATACTAGAGCTGCTGGATTGGAGTGAGTCAGAGGACGAAAAGGAGAAACAACAAAAGAAATAGACAGTAAAAAAAAAGGCACGGGGAAAAGAAAGAAATTGACTGTTTCTCTGTAATATAATACCAGTATGGAGTTCTCATTACTTTGCTTACCTTCATAATCCAACGCAATGCAATGCAATGACACTTCACTAGACGCTATTACTGACGGGAGTGCCCTACGGAGTAAGTATTTTTTTTTCGGCCCCGTAGGAGATTCTATCCATTCCACTTTTGATAGGTAGCGAGTGTCGTGGATTCACTCCGCAACGGGATTCATTCATTCATTCATTCATAGACACGTACTGAGTATTTACGCGAGATTCTGTATACAAGGAGGGAAAACAAAGAAAAAAAGAATTGTATTTGCGACGGAGTCCGGCTAGGTAGATAGGTAGGGATCGTGCATCCAAATTAGGTAATTCTAAGTTTCACAATCAATTGCTTTGTTTGCCTACTATGGGGAACGGATACGAAAGAAAGATTGAAAAAGAGGAAGATTGATGGATTTTTTTTATGGAATTCGATTCCAGCTATCTAATTCCTTGAAACGATGCTCTATCTAGGACAAGAGAACAAAGAATCAACCCGCATCATGAGTCTTCTGGCTCCACGTAGCAATCATTATCAAAACCATCCGCGAACAAACATACTAAGACAAAAAAAACACATTTCCATGTAATCCTTCCGTAACAGGCAAATGGGATCCGGCTCCTTACCATTGCACAATCCATGTGAATAAACGTATGCTTCATGAAAAATCACTGAAACCAGTCATATGGTGATGAGGACGTTTCGCTACCAGGCGAATTGAAGAAACAACATCATAAAAGACATGGCTCGTCAGCTGTGATCGTCGTAAAACAATCCATCACATGTTCCTCTGGATGGATCCGTCCTTGCAAATTGTGCCAGCTGCGACGCGGCCCATATTGGTCCAGGCACGGTGATTGCAGATCGCAAAGGAGTTCCCATCGGGCGAGCATCCAATCTCACCGTCCCTGCAGGGTCCTATGGGAAAAATCCTGGGGGCCGCCGAAGCGGATGGGATTTTATGAGAGGACGACGGGTGTGCTGCAGCCGAAGACGACGCGGCACCGTGCGATGGAGATGCGGAGCTCCGGACAGGCGAAGCCGGAGCTTCAGTGGTGAAGGGTAGGAAAGAAGACAAGGCAGAGGACAGTGCGGAAGAAAGCGCAGAGGACAGTTCAGAAGACAGTTCAGAGGACAGTTCGGCAGACAGATTGGCAGATGCGGTAGAAACGGGAGTCGCGCTGGTAGAGGACGCGGCAGAAGACGAGGTAGAAGACGGGGCAGCGGACGAGGTGACAGATGGGGCAGTTGAGGTAGAAGTTGGACCTGGACTGGCCGAGGACAGAGCAGAAGATAGCGCGGACAGGGCAGAAGATATGGCGGCGGATAGGTCAGCAGATGAGGTAGATGCTGGGGCTGCGCTGGTAGAGGACTGGGTAGCAGACGAGGCAGACGAAGTAGAAGACGGAAAACTAGTACCAAGGAAGGGAGCAGATTCCTTGCACGTGAAGCCGGTGGTATTGACAGAACCCACAACATCCGGTCCCGGGAGCGGGAAGCTGACCTCCTCGTTGGCCGTCGTGGTGCATTGACCTTGAGCGTTGATGTTGGCAAGAAAGATTGGAGGCCTGCTGCTGAATGCTACCTCACTACGAAGGAAATCACGGGCATGATTCCGCTTCTTAGAGGGTCCATTCACAGTCACCTGGGCGCAGTTCATGTACATCTCCCGGTTGCCGATCTTGTTGAACCAGGTCCATGCCAGCAGGGCCTCACCGGTAGGGGCATCTGATGGAATAGTGAAGGTGTAGTTCTTCGCAATCGGACAGCCTCCCTCGATGGACTCAATGACCGTGAAACTCTTCCCCTTGTCGTACGAGAGAGAGATCTGGCATGACCCACCACCATGGGTGGCGCTGCCAGCCAGCTCCAGATCACAGGTCTGGCCAGCGGTGTAAGTGGCCACTGACACGAAAGGGTCGTTGGCGTAGCCCTTGCAAGGATAGTCGGACCCGGAAGGTGACAGAGGGTTCGTGTACGAGTAGTCCTTGTTGTCTCCTCCGTTGGGGTTGAGAGGGCTGCGGATGGGATACGGGTTGCTCATTTGCATGTGGCCGTGAACAGTGGAGGCCAGCAGGCCGCAGATGACGAAGAAGCCGTGCATGATGACGGCTAGATTGCTGTTGGATAACAAGATAGACGTCAGCAAAAATGCCTTCAGGCGATTCAGTCTTCGGTCTGATGTCGTATTATCACTAAAATCAACTGAGGCAACTTATGTTGGTGATGATTGCTCAGATTTGTATAAGATACAGAATAAAGACAGTCGCACAAAGCCATTGTCTCCACCAGTACACAATTCAACAATGGTGGACAAAGAAAGGAATCACTTACAGCACTAATAGACCCTAAAATTGGAATGAGAAAAAATTTGCCAAAAGGTCACTGGTCCTGACGAAAAGCAAGAAACTCGACTGGTGGTATATACCACCGCTGAGAGACTCTGATTGAGTAGCCAACGCTGACCCGGTGCTGTAGCGATGGTCATGTCCCATTGACGGGTGTCTCAAGACCAATTTATCTTCTCAACCCCCATGAGGAGGCGAGAAAATTGGCGAATTCCATATCTCACGCGTAGCCCGGTAGTTTGGGAATTTCCCCAGATCGTGAGCTAAGCCTTTGCGTGGAATGCACGATGGACGGGACGCGTGGAGCAGAGGAATGTTGGCGGCCACCACCACTCAGGCAGCTGCAAAGACACGATCCGCCAATAGTGGCCAGTTTGGCATGATCGATGTCTGTGGCGCTCTCAGGGAAGCTGCCGTCGAGTTGCTGCAGAGACGCCGCATTGTGCGCGTTTCGTGGGCTGTGATGGCGTTGTCAGGAACCTGTCTTCTCCACAGTCCGTCATCGGACGCCAGTGATTGGAATCCGCCACAAGAGCGTCAACATGGACGAATCACGTCGAGATAAGAATAATAACGTGCTGATGGACGGTCTGAGGAAACAGCACGCGCCTAATAGAGCGCGTCGTCGTGGGGGAGATCGTGTCTTCGATAAGGCTTTCATGCGGTTCTTCACGACTCCTGCACAATCTTCGCGAGGACAGCCTGACGGAAATATGGCCCTCTACATTTCATCTCTCGAGTCGCGTCGACGGGTGGCGGGAGATTTACGCGGGAAGATGAGCAGTTGCAATTCGCGTCAGTCGGGCTCGTGTCACATGCCCTCGATGTAGCTTCTTTCCTTTCGAAGTAAGAATAGTAATCGGCAAGCGTACTCACCCGGAAATTCTCAGGAGCTCTTTAATTGCGTCAGGCCAATACGACACGAGTGACTCGTTGATTGTTTCTCTTTTCTAATTGTTATATGACCTTGTTGGTCCTAAGGCAATGAGGTCGTGAGAGAAAAATAATGACACTCAGTGATATCCATGGATTTTCAGAGGTCCAGATTGTGCACTTCGGACCCCGCCCAACGGCCATCTACACCACGCACACTCGTTTTTGACATCTTTTGCAGTTATAGTATTAGTACCATAATGACATATCATTGAAGTTGAGTAATTTTAATTTCCTGGATTTATTAGGCACATCATAGGCCTTTATTATTTTCCACAGAGATTCCACGACATCTTGCTGATGTGATAATGCGTCTGCAAGGGTATTCTTCTTTTTCAGGTCTGTATCGAAACCCATCTGTTTCATCTTATCCTGCCTTTAATGCCGTCTTATTAAATGCCATATGATATTGCCACAATTACCCTGGTTTGTTGCTGGTCCCCGATTTCTCCAAAAAAAAAAAGAAAGAAAGAAAGAAGCAATGCTAATTAGACACTAGTGAATATAGCCTGTATGTACTTTCCTTCGGCGAAGACTATTGACAGGGTCATATGAAGAGAAGCAGCAACCGGATAGACAGATGCATAGAGAATGTGCTGAAAGAGGGCCTCTGGTTTGCTATGACAGCTCAACTCGCCAGATTTTATTTCGGGCAGGAGTCGGGGGCTTGGATGACGAGACTCCATCCGTCCGTCATATATAGCTGACCCTTGGTCATGTTCTCCGGGTGGCTACCATCCAGACCCGGCTCGTTTTGTGTGCAGCCAGTTCCATCCCTAAGGAAAGTTGCCAATTCGGCAACCTGTTCGGCACTGATTTTGAATCCTTTGGGAGACTTGGAAAATATGAAGGTCAGCATGTTTTCCAGTGCAACATAAGTTTGGCAGGTACATATTTTCGATGGAGCATACCTCATTGAGAATAGAGATTGCGGGCAGATCCTGACAGGCCACCCAAACGGTTGAGAATGGCTTGTTTGATGGCTTCCCAGGGACGCTAAATGTCTGACTAGACTTCTCAAGCTGATTGATTTGCAGATTAAGAGTATCACCAAATGCGGATAGGAATTCTGGGGGATTGCAATCCCAGCGGGCAACCCCAGCAGGTTCCTGGTCGAACTCATCCGTCAGGTCAGTCCAACTGATTTGAGGATTGTGCCTAACTTACACGTGGACCTCTCGCTTCGACAGTGTTTGCCTCGCTGGCCAGAGCCAGGGACTTGGAAGAGTTAGCCCATGATTTATATGCAGTGCATAAGAGACAATAACTGTCAAGCACTCACTGCAGCACCGGCAAGGACAAGCAGAATGCTCCGCATGGCGACGGTGGATTTGGTTTTTCTTTCTAACAGATGGTGATTTTGATCGAAGTTGTATGTGTGAGATGATCTTGCAAGTTCCAACAGAGGGAGTTTAGCCGGATTATATACTCCGTACGGAGTACAGAGTACTCACTGGGATTTCTCGTGTTCAAAACTATTTGACTCACCGCAGGCCTGCTATCGACATTGCCAATAATAATCGACTTCCTTAGCAGGCATCCAGGTATTCCTTATCGCAAAGCCATGTCGAGACCTTCCCCAAATTAACCTAGGCGATGTGTCTGTCGCCTTTCGATCGATGGGGCCGTGCAGATCTACCCCTGAATTCTAGAAATTCCCCGCAACTTGCCTTGCCCAGCCTGGGTCCGTTTTCTGTCACCAATGTTCAAATCGGCACGTAGTTTGTTGACATTGCTGCTATCGGAGTGCGTGCTGAAGGTAGTAAGAAGTTCGAAGGATTCGCCCCGACCTAATGCAAGTTCCTAGTAAGCATGCTCCGTATAGCAAACAACTAGTCGAGCCGACCGACCCAGAGCGGTGTAGCGAGGGGTGATCAAAAAAGCAAGGCAAGCGAGCGAGAGAATTCATCTATATACCCCAAGGTTACTCCAGGTATGTACAGAGTATATTGCCCGCTTAGGCAGCGAGGACAAGGTGAGCCTGGCGAGGACGCAAGGTGTTCGGCGGAGCGCTAGCCCTAGATGTAGAACTTCATAGCTAAAAGCACACAGGTATTTGACAACAGTCGTGAGGCGTCTTCGGCTTTAGCGGCCCCAACCATTTTTGTTGCCAATTTGAATCACGTACTCCATACGAACAAATGGAAATAATAAGCGGCTTTTATAGTGGCTTTCTACACCTGTTTATTTACATCGGCAGGTACGGCCTCTGGTTGGTCGGTGCCTGTACTTAGTCTCATCTGCCAAGCCGTCAGTCTGGAAGTCGTCCCAAGTCGATCTCTGCCAATTACTCTCCTCTCGCTAATAATGACCACGTGGAGAGGATATGATGCCCCTAGCTGACCTGCTGTTGCCTGATATTCCTCTACTGATGCTGGATGCCGCTGCTGCTTCGGATCCAGCTGCCAGCTGGAGGAGCCTGCCATGCCTCGCGTCGCCATGCCCTTCTCTCGCAGTCCGCCTGCATAGGCCCCCGCCGCCTTCTTCGCCCCGTCGCCGTGACGAAGAGAGGAGAGAACAGGTTTCCAACTGCACGCCATGATCGACCATCTGCTCATTCTTGCGCCCGCCGCATCTTGACCTGCCCTGACACACTATGCGTTGCTCATCAGATCCCTATCTCCCCGACGCCCTCCTTTGGCGGAGCAGTTACACGCCGGGCGGCCGCTGGTAGAGCACTGCGTCGCTTCCACACCGTTGTAGCGTGCCGTATATCCGCCGCACAGGTACTTTCGGTGCACTCTACGCTGTCAGATGTTTCGCGCGCCCTGGAAAATGAGGCTCCTGCCCGAGGCAAAGAGGCAGCGGCGCTCGACCCGGAGTTGCATGAAGATGTACCGGCTGGTCAGGAGGAAGTGAAAGCAGCCCTCTCAAGGCCAGCCCCTGTCAACAGCGACTACCTTCCCCTTCCCTGGAAGGGCAGACTTGGCTACGTACGTTTCAATTGGGTGCTTACTTTCTGCTGGGAGGTCAAGATCTGACCTGTAAGATACAAAGGCCTGCGTGTGCACCTATCTGCGATATGCCACCCCTCCTGTATTCAGCTCCCGCACTTGCCGCATATCTTCGATTCTAGAGCACCGGCATCCCCTCAAGCATCCTTCTCGACCGCCTCATCCGACCAAGAATCGCCCGGACCGGGATCAACCCGCAGATGTCGCACGAGGTCTGGCATATGTCCAGTCGCTGGGTCTCGCCAATGCCCGTGATATCGTTAAGATGCTTCGCTGGAATGAGCGGTACGGGATCAAGTTCATGCGTCTCAGTAGCGAAATGTTTCCGTTTGCCAGTCATGAGACATATGGGTACAAGCTGGCGCCGTTTGCCTCCGAAGTGCTGGCGGAAGCCGGCCGTGTTGCAGCGCAGCTTGGTCATCGGTTGACCATGCATCCGGGACAGGTATGAAACACCTGCCAATAAGAGAGCATTCTGGGGAGACGGTTGGATTGCTCACCTTCTGTCAGTTCACGCAGTTAGGGTCACCCCGGAAAGAGGTTATCGATCGCTCAATTCGTGACCTCGAATACCATTCGGAGTTACTACAGTTGTTGAAACTTCCGCCTCAGCAGGATCGGGATGCTGTTATGGTACTCCACATGGGTGGCGTGTTCGGTGATAAGGCAGCCACGCTGGATCGGTTTCGTGAGAACTATAAGCGTTTGTCTCAAGACATCAAGAACCGTCTGGTACTGGAGAATGACGATGTCAGTTGGTCGGTCCACGACCTTCTACCAATTTGCGAGGAATTGAACATCCCGCTCGTCCTGGACTTTCATCACCATAACATCGTTTTCGACGCAGAAAAGGTCCGTGAGGGCACTTTGGATATTATGCAGCTTTTTGATCGGATCAAAGCGACCTGGACACGCAAGGGCATCACGCAGAAAATGCATTACTCCGAGCCTACCCCGTCGGCCGTTACACCCCGACAACGACGGAAACACAGCCCACGAGTTTCGACCCTTCCGCCCTGTGACCCCACCATGGACCTGATGATTGAGGCTAAAGATAAGGAGCAAGCCGTTTTTGAGCTGATGAGGAAATTCAAGCTACCTGGCCATGATCTTTTTAACGACATGGTCCCGCATGTCCGCGAGGATGAAAATAAACCTTGGAAGCCGCCAAAGAATCCTAAAAGGAATGGCGATTTCATCGATCTGCAGCAGCTGGTCCCTCCTCCACCTGCGATCCCTGAAGAAGAGGTTGGTATGGGTGGTCCTCAAAGACGGGTGTACTGGCCTCCGGGCAAGAGACATTGGCTGTGGCCGGCGAAGAGCGCCGTTTCACGAAGGACAGCGGAAATGGCCTCTATCGAGACCATCAGCCGATCCGGTGACTCCCCAGACGTGGACAATAAGGCACCTTCCAAGAATCCGGTAGTTTCAGATACTCCCCAGCGTTGGGCTCAGCGGACTGTAACGGCCCGTGTGGCCATTGGGGAGAGGAAATCCTCGCGGGAGAGCTCTCTCGTGTCGACCTCCGAAGAAGGCGCATCGGTCTCGTCGAAGTTCTCTGAGCCTCTTACGCCATCGCCGACAGCCACCATGATGACTGTCGGTGAAGTCGCGAGCTACGAGAACCGTCACGCATAAAGCAAGAGACCAGACATGTCAGTAGTATCACAATGACTAATCACACAAGAATTCCCATAGAGCGTACATTTATCCTTATACAGGAAGACATCCCAGCTGACTCATCTTCAGCGTAACTGACTGTATAATGGGGCATCTCGACTGTACAGTACAGTACATCAATACATCAAGGGAAATTGAAAGCACTATCATTATGTAAATTGCTTAATTATATTCGTTTAATGTGCGAGCCTCGAGCCATCGCATACCTAGGTAGGAGTAATGATGATCGTAGCTTTTGCCTGCTATTCTTAGCGCTGGAGAATGTCGGCGCGGGAGGCCCACTCCGTTGCAGGATCTCGCCGCGCTGCAGCCTGCTTGACGCAACAACCAGACCAGGGCAACCAGCGACGCCAACTATGTATGTCGGCATTGCATTACTATCAGAGCACGTCTTTTCTTCACTCCTTCGCGCTTAATGTTTTTGCAATCTGCCAGCAAGACCGTGTGTCTTTTTCGGTGGACTGTGGCTGTGGTTAAGTGATTATTGTGATTGTTCTTCACACGTCACATTCTGTCCCGCAGCCTATATCACCATCATGCCGTCGACGGTTCTTCGGTAGGGATCTTTGACAATTCAGCTTAGGACCGTGAAACGAGTTCTCTCGCTACCTTATCAGCCGATAAAGAAACTGAGGACGAGACCGTGGCTCCCAAATCGCCTTTCTTCAGTCGCTGGCGGAAGCCGCTTGCCCTCTTGCGGCCGCAGCGATCAATAGCACCCAGCCTTCGAGCCTGGCGCGGCATCAAGAAGCCTGGAAGAGGCACTTTCTCAGACTTCTTCTTCCGCGTGTTATTCGCGCCGCAAGCACCCTCCCGCGCCCGAGACCGTGTCCGAGCCCGCCTCTGGACGTTCCGTTACGAGACGCTCCCTTCCTTCCGTCACCGTGCGCAGGCACGCCTATACCGGGCCATTGTTAGACGGCAAGAGAGTCTTCGGAAGATACGACGGAGTGCTGGTAGTGTTCGTGGAGGAGTTCTCTCTCTTCTGCTTGGCAGAAGACGTCTGAGGGGCCAAGTGCCAGCGACATTGCTTCCGGGCGCCGCACACCGTCGCCTGCAACGAGTCAGACGCTGGAAGATGCAGATAGCGTCACAATGGCAAAGTCTGGTTCTACGGAATCAGGTATGAGATGGGGAAGCAGTGATGAGCCTGGCAGAGAATGGGGAGCGCGGCGGAGAAAGGTCTACGGGTATCTCAAGGCCGCCAATGAGCTGCGCCAGATATACGCTTCACAGTGGTCTCAAAGAAATAGACAGGATTCCTACGATGGCGAGTCCTTCGATGTACCTGGTGCCTTCCCGGATGTCGATATTGCACGGTCCGGCGACGAGGAAATGGTTCTCTTTCCAAGCTATACAAGGCGCCATGTGAGGAAGAAGAGACCCGGAACGTCCTGTCAGTTACAGCGGAAGCCTGGGACGAACGAAGACATTGAACGGCCACGGTCGCCTGGAGACTTGGAATATTGGAAGCAGGAATGGGAGAAATACGAGGATGACAATGCTTCTGTGGACGTTGACGTTCGAGGCTGGATATACACACCGCAGCACGGACCCATGAGCCGAAAGCATCGACTATTGATAGCGCTGGCCAGGAAGCTGAGTGGAATTCCTGCTCCCGGCACCAGTTCCAACAGTTCTCCGCTCTCCGGCCAGTTAGGGCCCCAGCAAGCTTCAAGTAAAAGAGAGGACGAGGATGTGGCGAGGGAGGCGCAGTCCATCATCAATAGAGCGGAACAAGAGGCGGATCCAGCGTGGAAAGGGGGCCATTTCAGGGGTCAGGACGGACAACAGGGTTCTGACGCGGTTTCGAGGACAGACTCGACTTCATCCCTAGGCAAAGATGAATTGTCCGTAGCGAACGCTCGTCTAATGGAGCGACTCCGGCCTTTTATGGCCAACCCACTTGTTGGGACGCCCGTCACGATGTTTTTCTTCAATGACAAGGAAAGTCTGGCAAGGACCACCACGACTGATGATGCGGGCCATTTCTCGTTTCGAGCGTCCCTGGAGTTTGTTCCAACCCATGTGCGAGTGATAGCTTCGGAGTCGCTATCAGCAACAGAAGAGGTCCAGATAATCGAGCCGAAAGGCGTCAGTCTCATCAGTGATATCGACGACACGATCAAACACACTGCCATCACCAGCGGTGCGAAGGAAATGTTCAGGAACACATTTGTCCGTGAACTCGAGGACCTGACGATACCTGGCATTAAAGAATGGTATACCAAGATGGCCAACATGGGTGTTAGGATGCACTACGTGTCGAACTCGCCATGGCAGCTCTACCCTCTTTTGAAGCGTTACTTCACGCTGGCGGGCCTTCCACCGGGATCGTTCCACCTCAAACAGTACAGCGGAATGCTACAGGGGATCTTTGAGCCAACGGCAGAGAGAAAGAGAGGTGCCCTAGAGAAAATCATGGCTGACTTTCCCGAACGCAAGTTTATCCTAGTTGGTGACAGTGGTGAAGCCGATCTCGAAGTGTATACCGACCTAGTCTTGGCCAACCCGGGGAGGGTGCTAGCGGTATTTATCAGGGATATCACGACACCGGAAAAGAAGGGCTTCTTTGATCAATCGTTCGATCACAACAGCGTCTCCAGACCGAGCCCGCGAACAGCGCCCGTGAAGAACGATTCAGATGCTGTCGAGAACAGACCAGCATTGCCACCACGAAGACCGGTGGAACAGCAGTCTAATAGTACTTCAGCGGATGCACGCACTTTAGACAACACTGATCTAATATCGCTGATGGAATCTGGCAACGAGACGGACCAAAATCCCGACTCCGCTAACCGCAAATGCCCTCCTGTAAAACCGTCCAAGCCAACTACCCTGCGAACCACCTCCGCCGACCCGGCCACTCAATCGAAGAGCAATGATGAAGAGGGCAGCTCAACGGTCCCACAGAAAGAGATTATACGTCGCAAACCGGCGCCGCCTCTGCCATCAAAACCTCGGAGTCTGTCAATTCCTAGACCAGATCCATCAGCAGAACGACCCCCGCCCTTACCTGCGCGCCCAAAGCCAAATCCGGCAACAGATTCGCCTGCCTCATCTGCCTTGCAATCTGCTAAGAATGAGCCATCTCAACCAGCTGAGAGTTACACGGGCGCCGTAAAGAACATGATCTCCACTGCCTACAACAGCCTTCCCTCAACGGCCCGAGAGTATTTGAGTTCGCGCTCCAATACCCCCAATGACTCTGGCACCGAGTCTCAACCTGGTGAAGAGCGAAGGACTCGCTCGCAGCGGCCACCACCGCCTGTGCCTCCGCCTCGTCGCAGCAATACGGCAGCGTCCACCGCGAGTTCTGCTTCAGCTGGTCCAGAGACCCGAAGGGGTCCAACATCCAATGCAAATGCGGCCTCGCACGATCGCGTTTTGAAGCCGTCATCATCCTCCAGTTCCCTTTCCGCAAGAGGCTCCGCATCTGCGTCATCAAGGCCTGTCCCAAGCCGAACCAATACCAACACTAGCACTACTTCTGCTACCACCACAAACAACAATAATGACTACGACTCAGGCTTGACCTACCATGACCCTTCGGATGGATCACCACAACCTGCTGCTCCGCTACCCAACAAACGCGAGGAGCTCTGGCGACGCCGATGGGAACGCGCACAGGCGGTGCTGGACGAGCACGGCGTCATCCTCGCCTGTTGGAGAGTAGGCAGCGATGTGGAGGATATTGCCGTGTGGCTGGTTGAAGAGGCTCAGAAGAGGGAATGAGTATGCAGCAAATGCAGGGCCAAAAAAAACACTTTTCGTCTCCCTCTCGTAAGACTTGAAGAGCTAGCCATGGTCCTGGAGGTTTTGGTCTGGGTCTGTCGTTTTATTTCATGATTGATGCTCTGTGCACTATTATATACATAGCCTGTCCTGTACAGTACAGTATACCTATACCAGATTCTATGCACTATACACTTTTTTCTTTTCGAGACCTTTTCTCTGCATGCAAGCAGGCATTATGTATGACGACTAACGAGGATAGCATGTGATAGAAAATATGGTGATACTCATATCTATGTCTGTACATATATACATACGTTACGTAGGAAGTAGACAAGAATCCCTTCTCTTTTAGCGTTGCGTGGAGACAAAAAAAATGTAGTCGAGCCTTGTAGACAACCTTGATGGACAACTATCATTTAACCAAGATTCTCATTGAATAACACGAGGACGGCTTCTAACAATTCTGTCTCGAAGTGAATGTGTTGATGGCGGATCTCTTCCGGGCTTTTTTTACCGGGAGTATCGTCATATTCATCGCATTGCAAATCCAAATGGTGAGTAGAGCAGGAAGATGTGTGCTGAATATATATATTTCCAATGCGGTAGTTACTCAGGCAGTTACTCCGGGCGATATGATGCGCCATCGACCACTCTTTGGTACCTTAGCTGCTGTATAACATTCAAGGTAGACCTCTACGGAGTAAGAACTCGAATAACCCCGCGTATTGAATACTGATAAGATTTGCTCTGGATTCAAGGCGAAGAGCTATCGATTGCGGAGTCTTATGTTTGCAATGTTTGTTCAGTGCGGGCCGTTATTCTTCCGGACCAGGCACCCGTCACCTGATGTAATAGTATTAATTCAGCTTTAGACAATTCAACGCGGTGCTGGGGATTCTTCATCCTACATCTATGTGGAGAAGTCACCTGTGATTATCTGAGAGAGAGCGCATATCGCGTCCCCTTGTCACCATGGCTGAATCGCAAGGCGGCGCTCTTGCCGCCACTCGGGTTTTGGACGTGGCGCTCCACTCTCTGCGGGGAGATGGTCTGACCGAAGCGACCATCAAGAATGCCTATGAAGCGGTGGCTCTGGTCGGGCATGCATGCATGCTCGCGGTGGGTTTTCGGCTGGTAGGGCTGGGAGAAGATCATCGCATGGGTTCGTCAGAGCATCGAACTGCCACTGTCCATCAGGTTCGACTGACACGTGCCATAGAGAACAATACAGATCCCACTGTCCTCCCCAAGGAATGGAACGCCCAGTCTACCTATGCCTTCCGATATGCGCATTCCCAGTCCGCGATGGAATATCTTCTGAAGCTGAATCGGCTAGGAAACAACGCGGTTGTCTTTGCTTTGGCCCTGGGCCATGACAAAACCACTTCGTTTGACCTTCCGGTGAAGGACTACATTTCCGAATCCGCATTACCTTTGACTCTAACCAGCGATTCTGCAAGCACTCTGAGGGATGTATTCATCTCGACGTCTCGCTTGGATGACTTGATCAGCTTGTTTAAGATTAATGTGATCCAGAAACTAGCTCCAGGTTTGTACAAAGAGGGATATGAAGACACGACCGGCCAGGAACCGCAGATAAGGCGACCGGAGGAACCTTCACGACGTGATCCGTTACGAGACGATCGCTATCTTGAACCTGCTCGTCCATATCCATTTGACGACCCTTTGGCTGCGCCGCCCCGGCGTCCGGCTCCTCCGGGCGATTTTGCCCCCCCAGGGTTCGAGGATGAGTATGAAATAAACAGGCCACCGCGTGGCTATCAACCACAGCCTGGAAGAGGGAGAAACCCATTGACCATCGGGGACCGCGACTTGTATCCTCCTGGCTTGGGACCTCGAGATCCGTTGCGGGGGACGATTGGTCCTGGTGGCGGAGGGGGTACCGGAATGCACCCGACCTTTGACGATCCCATATTCGGGGGCCAGAGGGGAGGCGAGTACAATCCCCAGATCCCTCCAGGGTCGAGGTATGACCCCGTAGGTCCTGGTGACGGACCTCCGTTTGGTCGCAATCGAGGGCCTCATGGTCGCGGCTTTGGTCCTGGCGGCTTCGGAGGCGGTTTTGGCGGTGACATCATTTAAGCAGGTAGTGAACCATTGACGCGCGGGTCGCACCCGAGAAGCAAGAGCGCGTAATTATCAGCTCGAGACGAAGTAATGAGAGATGACAGTTCTAGGCATGCAAATTAAATAATTAAATAAAATCTGACGTAGCGCTGTAGTAAGGAAAATCCACTTTGTTTATTTTCTGAGCTGGGATTTTTTTTTTGGTGGGGTGCGCGAGGTCTCGAGGGCGCGCCACAGCCCCCCGTGTTTGACCCCATGTGTGGCTCAGCAGTTGCTGCCCTGCTGTGGCGCAACCTTGGCTGGCGTGCTGTTTGGCCATTTCCACCCAGGCCAAGCAGCCCTGCTGGCGTGCCAAAACGAACATGACATGAAGAGTCCTCCGCAACCCACTCTCCTCGACCGTAGACAAAACTGCTGCTGATCCTGCTCTCCCCGATTTTTTTCCAGATTGAGTTCCCTTTCTTTTCCCTTTCTTTTTTTCTTCTAGCTTTCATTCCCCCGTCTGCTGAGCCTGGTCGTCCTCACGAGACCCATCCCCGTCCGCCCCTCCCTCAGGCTCACCTGCATTGACCTCCGCCGTTCTCCCACAACGCATCAATGGAGAACAACATGGAAATCGACACGGCGCGATCCCCAGAGTCCCATCGCCTGTCGCCCGCGACAGACCCGCAGGCCATACCGACTCTGGATGGGTGGATTGAGAGTCTGATGAACTGCAAACAGTTGGCGGAGAGCGATGTGCAGCGGCTGTGCGATAGGGTGTGTTTTGCATGTCCACCTCTACCATGGGAGGGACTGAGATTTACTCTCTCCAGGCAAGGGAAGTGCTACAGGAAGAGTCGAATGTGCAGCCGGTTGTATGTGTTATCTGTTTGATCCCAGGCGGTGGGGGCGACTCGGTTGACTGATCTCGTCGTTCCAGAAATGTCCAGTGACCGTCTGCGGAGATATACACGGCCAGTTTCACGACTTGATGGAACTCTTCCGCATCGGAGGCCCCAATCCTGATACAAATTACCTTTTCATGGGTAGGGATTCGTACGGCACTCGTTTTTTTCTTCCTCAAACTCTGACACCTTCGGAACGCTAGGGGACTACGTTGACCGTGGGTACTACTCCGTCGAGACCGTCACTCTCCTTGTTGCTCTCAAAATCCGCTACCCCCAGCGCATCACGATCCTGCGTGGAAACCACGAGTCTCGCCAGATCACACAGGTCTATGGCTTCTACGACGAGTGTCTGCGGAAATATGGCAACGCTAATGTCTGGAAGTATTTCACGGACCTCTTTGACTACCTCCCCCTTACTGCCCTGATTGAGAATCAGATCTTCTGCCTTCACGGCGGTCTCAGTCCGTCGATCGACACCCTTGACAACATTCGCGCTCTCGACCGGATCCAGGAAGTCCCTCACGAAGGGCCCATGTGCGATCTGCTCTGGAGTGATCCGGATGACCGATGTGGCTGGGGTATCTCTCCTCGTGGTGCAGGCTACACGTTTGGACAGGATATTTCGGAAGCGTTCAATCACAATAACGGCTTGACTCTGGTTGCGAGGGCACATCAGCTCGTGATGGAAGGATATAACTGGTCACAAGACCGGAATGTCGTGACGATTTTCTCTGGTATGCGCCTCTGGATCTCTGCATGTCCGAATTGTTCTACGGGAACTCTGCTAATATGTCGACCCAGCCCCGAACTATTGCTACCGATGCGGGAACCAAGCAGCCATTATGGAAATTGATGAGAACTTGAAATACACATTGTACGTGACCCCCGTATTCCCCCCCCTCCTTCTTAAACTGCCCTTTGAATTCGACTCTTTTCCTCTTGCTGACGTGTTGTCTTTCTCAGCCTACAATTTGACCCCTGCCCACGAGCCGGTGAACCGACGGTATCGAGACGGACGCCGGACTACTTCCTTTAGATTCATAGATAGAATTAATCCTTTGATTTCCGTCATGACATTTGTACCCTTTATCTTCTCAGCGATCACACAGTATCCTACGCTAGGCCATGAATTTTTTCTCCAGTGTCAGATGAGGTGATTGGTTGGGGAGGAAGGGGAGGTCTGCAGAAATAAAAAGGACAACCTGCTGCACCTAATTTTTTTTGCATGTCCTATGAGTGTTTTGTTTTTTTCTTCTCGATTACTTTTTTTTACCTTTTTCACTTTTTTGTTGATACCACTTTCATGGAAAGAAGGAGACAAAAAAAAACTTTTTTTTCTTCCCCCCTTTCCCCCTTTTTTCCCTTTCTCTCAATTGTCTTGACAATATGACCCTGGCCTACGTATGTACAGTACAGTACATTACATGTAAGCCAGGAATGGACTACGAGATCGTTATTCTATCAACGCATCTGTTCTATCCTGTCCTATCCTTATTTCACGCGTAAATCGTGAGTTGAGTAGTCCGTACAAGTAGTGATCGCCAGGGGATGTGATGAGATCGAATTGAGGGATGGTTGTCGAGTCGAACCAAGTCTAGCTCAGCACCAGCAGCCATATAATATAATAATATAACATAGATGGATTATGATAGGTATTCTAGAAATCCGCGATCTGATCTCCCATTTCTGCATCTGAAGATAAAGGCCATCACTGAATAGAATCATGGGCATAAATAGATAATGGATATCTCCCTGGTGAAGTATGTACCCATCTCACCCAATCACACAACTCCCAGCCAGGTGGTAAGCCCCAGGCAATGCACGAGCCACGATCAACCCTTCGACTGCATCAAGGCTGGGGTCCCTAGTCCAAGCGGTAATGCTTGTAGTCTCATTACACTGGGGGGGCCCGGTCCGGGAATATATTAATTATATGGAGAAGAGCAGAAGCAGGTGTTTCGTCGAACAGCTTGAGAATTCAGGTCTACTTGACGATCACACAATGGCCTCTCTATCGATCTACGGACGCCGAGGACGGAGTCAAGAACATAAACGAAGGAGTCAAAGGTTCAAAAAGCATTGTGGGGACGAGTTCTAGTATATGGCATCCTCTCCTCTTCTGCTCGCAGACAAGAAGCTTTGAATGCATCATACGAGCAGAGTAAGTAATCTTTAGGCACTGGCACATTCTGCCTCCAGATGATTCAGAGTTTGGCATGGCATAGAGGCGATATTTAACACTGCTAGATCATCAAGTGGTCGAGGGCGTCTTCAGTAGGATGCCTGTTCAATTAATAGATCACAGATTAGCCATACATGGTTACATACTGAGGTAAGTAGGAAAAAAAAAGAAGATGGGTGAGTTATGCATACCGCCATCGACGTGAAGAATTTGTCCATTCACGTATGTTCCGCCTCGGCTGCAGAGGTAGAGGATGGCACTTCCAATGTCTGATTCCTTTCCTGGGCGTCCTAGAGGGAGATTATATTAATAAAAAAAGGAGGACCGAAAAACTCAGGATATACAACACATACCGGCCGGTATCTGATGCCCAACCTTTTCTAGCTTCGCCTTCTGACTCTCATCCAGCCCGTCATCAGGCAGAAAGGGCGGAAACACGCCCGGCGCAATGCAATTAACTCTGATCCTCAATGGGAGGAAAGTATGCGCCCACTCCTTGGTCAGGTGCATAAAGGCTGCCTTGGTCGAGGAGTACGCGAATTGGCCATGCGAGTGGGTCTTGGTGAGCCCTGCTGCACTGGCGATGTTGATGATGGCGCTCGAATGACCGTGTGTCTGCTGTCGTGCTTTGTTGAGCAGGGGCAACATTGCCGCTGTAAAGAAATGGTGTGCTGCAATGTTGCCCGCGTACTCTTGACGCCACGCGTCGGGCCCGTCCTCGACCATCCATTTGCTCACAGCCTCGGCGTTGCTGAAGTCAATGTCGTGAGCTTCCTGGCGTGCCTTGTCTTCGGCGGTTACGCTGGCATTGTTGATGAGAATGTTGATCCCGCCGGGCTCATGTTTTCCGATTTCGGCGATCAAGGTTCGAATGCCATCAGTATGGGTGAAGTCTCCTGAGATTCTTCACATAAATCAAGTTAGTTTCAATGATCTTCCTTGGTGAGATATAGAAGTTCGATCGATTGATTCTGTATTACTCACGGGACGATCTTTCCGCCTCCATTGCCTCCAGAGTACTTCTCAGCAGCCCTCTGGAGGACATCAAGTCGTCTCCCTAATATATAGACGCGAGCACCGTTGTCTGCCAGAGTGTGCGCTGCCATGAGACCAATCCCGGAACCACCACCTGTCACGACTGCTGCAAAGTCTTTGACCTCGAAGAGGGTCTGGGCATGCAGATTTCCCTGGGAAGACATCCTTCATCGATGATTTAAAAAGAAATGATCCAATTGAAAAGAGCTGGAATTAGATTCGACAGGCAATTTCTTTCGTTCGTGTATGTATTCATCACATACGAATGTTGGCCTAGAACTACACCAAGTCCTCTATTTCTGATATCGGGACTTGCGGCTGCCATAGCGGTAAAAGAAGGACGAGAGTCAAGGTAAGGGAATGATCGCTGCATGACAACATCGCGCTGACATCTTCCTGAAGTAACTAGGTGTTTTGTGTTTACCATTGAAAAGCTTATCAGCGTTGGAAGCGTCCATCATTGGGAGCCAGTGGAATACCATGAGAAGTCATGTGATGTGTTTGTTACATGTCATCAGACAAAGAATAAATTGAGAATGCTAATGATCTTCATATTATAGATTAAATCTATATGCGCCTTATCTGCCTGTGAAGAAAGAGATTGCGCCTGTTTTAGGGACCATTCAAGCCACCCCAAAGTTAGAGAATCAAGTTTATGGATCTCATTCAGCAACGCCAACACCTGCAGGGTATTTCAGCTTCGTCACTTAGAAGACACTGAATTTTACATAGAAGAAAAAGAAAAGAGAGGAGAATGATCTGGAGGGAAATATCCCCAATGGCTCAAGGTATATCGAGTATAAGATCCCTTCCCCCCATCAGCTAGTTGCTTTGGTCTGATCTTCCTCTTTACTTTCCCCCGGCAGGCCACCATAATGTCGAACCTTGGAGCTCCCGTCCGGCACATAGAATCGCTGATCGACCCGTCCAAGAAGGTAAATATAGACCACGATAATCTCGATCGTGAAGTTGAAGATATAAAAGCAAGCCTTGCTGTCGTACCAGGCCGGGTCGTTCACGGGCCGGGGCGACTTGTAATTGGTGGCAGCGCGAAAGGTCGCACCCAGGCAGAGCAGGAAAGAGGTCACGCCGAGAATGACGAACTTGGCGGTCCAGCTTCCTTTGCCGAAGTGGTCGATCTGTTCGCCGTTTCTCCGTGGCACCAGCAGCGTATATGCGAGGATGAGGAAGGGCAGAAAGGAGAACATCAGGAAATAGCTCTGGCCGTACAGTTGGATATCGCGGTCGATCCGGTGCGTGTTCGGGTTCAGAGTGTAGAAGCTCTGGACGACGACGGTAATGAGCATGGCCAGCGACAGGACAATAATGACATAAAGCGCCTTGAAGAAATATGAGAGCGCTCGTGACCAGCCGACACGCGGGTGGAAAGCTCGCAGGAGACGCTGAGCATAGAGCAGGTTGAGGATAAAGAGAAGCAGGACGCCTGCTGCGACGAATATCTGCGCGGCCATTCCCAGGCGAAGATTATTCGGATGGTAGGCCAGTGCGATCCGGAGCGAGTTGGTCACGATACGAGCCATGCAGAAGCCAATAGTCGCTGCGGACGGAATGAACTTGTGTCCCCTGCTCATGTTCAGTCGGAATATTGTCATGTGGCCGGCCGCCCCGATGGCAAAGAGGGCGATGAAGACGGCACAGATGGGCACATCCACCGATTTGGTAGGGACGCCTCCTACCAACGCTGTTGGGGGCGCATATGGAGGTCCTTGAGTCGAGGAGTCCATACTGCCTGATCCTGGCATGCCTATCTATGGAGGTCAAGTTGGACTTATTCGAACCCGTCGGACACAGGGATCCCGGTCAAGAGGACAGTGAAGAAAGATCAACCATGAAGATGAAGAAGATGACAATGATTGTTGGATTCTTTTCCTGCAAAGGCTTTTCGACGAACTATATAAGAAACATAGAATCTCATGAGCTATACATAGACATATATATATACTAACTCCTTGCATGACATCTTGCATGAAGCAGCTAATAATTATACTCCGTATAGTGCGCATTGACACCAGAACAAAAAGTTTAAAGATCCAAAACGACCAACCAGACGCATTGATTCCATCGAATTGGCAAAACATGATCGGGTTGCGATGAAGGCTTGTCCCGACAATACGGGCTCTGAAGATCGTGCACTCTGCAACGATCTGTCGATCCTTGATTGTTTGCCGTGTTTGCAGGCCAGCCCGTCGGCGACTCGGGCCTCCGTTACCCCGACTCGCTCGTTGGCGGCTGCCGAAGCACCGTCACTTTATGCAGTTTGTGCGTCGGGCTGAGTCAGCAAAACAGTTTGTTATGCATCATGTTTCTCATATCGTGCTCTCTCTACTCCGTATTATCCAGTCACAATGTTGGCTTACCCATGCGACTATCTTCGCTCTCTCATCTGCAATTCGTATGTTTTCATTAATTCTTCTTATATGACTAACGTAAAAAAAGAAGATAGTTCATAAAGAGCAGCTGCTATACCGACCTGATGTCGGTTCAGTGAGAACTTCTGTCATGCAGGCCAACTATAGTAATCCAGCTGCTTGGGATATATCATTATTACGACGTTATAGACGTAACAGTCAGATCTTATTCAAAATAGGGCTATATGAATGTCATTTCCATTTCCATATGTGTGAGAGAACAAATCTCGAAAGAAGCTATTAGTGCCAAGCTTCAGCTTAAGACGAGAGCTCAAGCTTGGCTCCACATCTGTTTAGGCGATGGAAGCTCCCTGTCAGAGAGCTTGGACCTCTAACACCGCGGACAAATGCGAAATGGAATCAATTACACCGAGGACTCCATATTTCAACGTTTTGCGGGGTGCTAGCACGGACCACAGGGCAATCGGCGCAGCTGCCAAGCACGTGTAAGATTCTGCAGGTTCGGTTAACTTGCCAATTGCTGCGTTCCGGTTCGATCACCTGCGCGTCGGCCCCACCGCGTCCCGCCTTCCTCCAGACTTTCCCCATGCTTTCCCCGCACGCGCCCCCGGCTCTTTCCCTGGCTGCGATCTCTGCCTGTGCCTTGTCGGGAAGAGCCCGTGCTCGGAATTTTGACCTGCACCGTCTTCCGGAGATACCTGCAAACTCAAGCCATAGTCTTGATTCTGATCTGACATTGATACTGATCTTCCTCCGCCGAATCTAGTTACGCTCCTTGTTTTGATCCCCGTGCTACCGTGGGGATTACACAGTCCCAGATCTCTTTTGCTTCTGTTTGTGCCAAGATGCCCCAAGATAAAGTGGAAAGACAAGCGAAGCGTCTCCGAGTATGCTCGATTTGTCACAAAGCCTTTAAACGCACAGAGCACTGTGTTCGTCATGAACGCGCACGTACGTATAGGACTTCTTCAATTCGCTCATATTCCGGATGCTTTCCATAGCCAACCTGTATTGATTCTCTCGTCTCTCCTGCTGACCTTGCCGTTGGTAAACCAGACTTTCGGGAACGCCCGTTTTCATGCAGGTTCTGCGACCGGTCATACGGACGGAAGTGCGTTATCCTAGCGATCTGATCGATCAATGTCTTAGCAATGAATTGTTTTGTCAATGTTGCTAAATGATTGACCTTCCAGAGACCTTCTTGTCCGACATGAACGCACATTGCATGCGGAAGCATGGGCCAAGGCTCAGGAGAGCATGAAAGCCGCAGGGGACTCGAGTCGACCAGGTCGCCGTCGCCAGACGCGAAGTAGCTGGCATAAAGACGCCCACCAGCAGTCCCCGAACAAGGCAGATTCACAACGCGGCATGCGGATAAACAATGAAACTGTCATACAGATCACGAGCTTCCTCCCTTCCCCTTGCGTGTCATCGTCGTCGGAAGCAAGCGATCATGAGCCTGCCAACGGAGAGGCAGAACGGTTTGATTTCAATTTTGCTTTGGACCCGAGCTTGACGAATACGATCAACGTAATACCAGGAGAAGCGGGTGCCCAGGGTCATCATCAAGAAATTCCCACTGCTTACTCATTCGAACAGCGTCCCGTTACGTATGACGCGCAGATACAGACGGACACGTCCAACTCATTCTCTCGCGACGAACATATCCCAGTGGACCCCAACCTGACCAGGACAGCTTCTGGCGCAGAGTCACAACAATGTCAGAGTGCTGGGTCGGATGCTTTGAACTTCTTCTCATTGCTGCCTGGATCGGAGGTCGACCATACGGCCTTTTCGAATTATTTGGTTGGCCTGCAAAGCCAAGCAAGTTCCCCTGAGTCTCTGGGTCGGGCTGCACCTCGAGTGCAATGGCTACCAAGGGCACAATCCGGAGAGCAGCAAGCTTCTGCTTCCACTCCAACAGCTAAGGAACAGGTCTCCGATCATGGGGCGTCGCTTGACCGTCTTCCTCGGCTGATCAAGGAGCGCAAAACGAGTCCACCTCGGATTATCTTCAGTGAGGATGCACGGAAGACACTCATTGCGGACCTCAAAGAGCGGCTCTCTCCCAGCGATCTTCTTATGGAAATTCCTAGCTCACAGAGTCTCCAGCGCTTTATTGGACAGTTCTTTAAGGGGTTCAATAGTCATCTCCCAATATTCCATATTCCCTCGTTCAACGTCACCAAGGTTCCCAGTCCGTTACTCTTGGCCATGTGCTCCATTGGAGCGCTCTTTCACTTGGAGAGGCACACAGCTAGTCAGCTACGAGAATTGGCCAACGAAGCGCTACATCAAACGCAGTTGAAGCGCTCAAATCAAAGCCCAGCCGAAGCACGACCTCTGTGGGAAGTTCAATGTAAATTGCTTATCATTGCTGAAGCTGCTTTCGGTGGTGACTGCGCAGCAGTATCCTGGGCTCTGGAAAACATTGGCATCTTTCATCGCGAGTACTCGTTACGAAGAACCGCTTTATCCTCAACTACCCCGGGCTCGGACTCAATGAACTGGACAGAATGGATTGAACGAGAGTCGTCTAAACGCCTGCTGTACGGAATATTCGTTGTAAGTAGTCTCTTAACGATTGCGTACAACGTTTCGCCTTGCGTGTCGACGACCGATGACCTCAAGATTGAGATGCCGGAGGAGGAGCGGGTGTGGACAGCACCGGACGAGGAACGTTGGAAGGAAGCCATGGCAACAAGAAGAACTGTTAAGGGTTTAGATATCAACCAGGCTCTCACCCAACTGATCTTCGGTAAAGAATTCAACTTGGGTTCTGAAAGTCGATGGCCTGCTTTTGCAACGACAATCATCATGCACGCCGTCAATATACATATGTGGCATGTGACGCAGTGTACGCAGTCATTCATGAATTTCTCTGTCGACCCGAAGATGGAAGAGCAAATGAAGGCCCTCTGCACTGCCCAGACGGAGGAGTCACTTGCCAGATGCCACCGGCTGCTGACTCGGGACCGCTCACCAGAAGTTGGGCACACATGGGATGATGTCGAAGGGCCGTTAGTTTTCAATGGCCTGGCCTTGCTCCGGAGTTGCTATGTTCGGGCATTTACTGGGAGTGGTACCTTTAATCGCACCATGCTCTTCAGCAACGATGACGATGCCATCATTCGCGCTGCGAAGGACTATGTCCAGATCCAGCAAGTCAGGACACCCTTTCTCACCAGAGCGGTTGCTCAGGTATTTGCTGGTCTGTTGACGCCCATTCGGGCGGGACATATGCTGGTAAGGAAGACGGCCGCATTTACGTGGAGCATAGAGCATGCCATCTCAGCATGGGACTGTGGTAAGTCTTCTGAAAGAATAGTTTTACGGATTGGAAATTGACTTGGTCATCGCAAGCTCTTTTCTATACCAAATGGGTTCACACCATCGAGATGCAACAACACTATGCTCCTCCTGACGAAGCAGAAAAGATGAATCTGGACAACCTTGTCGAGCTCTTGCGCGAAATAGATGATGCTGAGACTGGGAGTAACTCGTTGGCCGCCGATGTGACGAGGACGTGGGCGACCTTTCTTGACGACACCTGGACGTGGGAAGGTAGTCAGCCCTTCGTCTTTCTGGAATTACTGCTGACATGGATTCTCTGCAGTGACGTGGCGCATGGGGAAAGTGCTTCGGAAATTAGCTGATGTTTACGAGAACGACCGGAAAATGTCTCAAATACTCATTTGACGTTGCCATGCCATGAGCTCCGACGATAACTGTTTTAGGGGGAAGATGAAGTCTCCCGTTGAGGACTCTGCTCAAAGACAGCGGCTTAGATAACACCATGCCTGCGATGGACGATCGAGAGACGTGAAACCATGGATTTCTGGAAAATCCTCGCTGCTACCACACCATGCCTGCTGTCATTCGATGTGCGGATAGCACATCGAAGGTTAATCGTTGTTCCAGAGACATTTGCTCCCTGTGCCTTATCAATGGCCTTTGGGGGTTTCAGAGGAACTGGTCTCGTCAAGCCTAAAAAGATCACTTCGGCGAGAACTTCTTTCTCACCACAAACCCGGCGACGCAACTTCTTGGTTCATCAGCGGTTTCAGAGCGACCATTCAATCTCGCAGCAAGTCTCTGTGTCTTGTCTAGTTGTGTACCTGGCGAGCGCTGCGAAGGAACGCGGTCAAACTGATGACAGGACGATGCTGAGATCGTCCCACCTTGCAACATGAATACATGTAAACATGACCTGTCTGTCGAAAGATATGCTCATGATACCCTGTATATAATTGTGCAAGTTCATCAAAGCAATTTGCTTCTCCTTGACTATGGAAGATTCCTTTGCAATGACTTCATTGATGCCAGACAGATCAGGAACGTTATCGAATTCCCGAAGTCGTACCCGTGCCGAATGCGCTGTATAAATGCTCGGCAGTTGGCGAGGCCGCAAATACCGTGCTGACCGGCCATGTTCCCCACAGCCGGCAGCCTGCTCAGTTTTGGGCAATGTGGAGGTTGCATTAGGCGGATGTTGCGGCCGGCCAAACAGACGGCGAAGAGCTTTCACACGCCGTCGTAGCTCATCCCCACATTCCTAGATCCAGCCACCAAAGCTTCTCCTCCCCGACGACCGCTGCCAGAGTGGCAGCCGGAATATCCCCATCGAAATCTAAACGCCGAGGAGAATCTCGTGTCTGACGAGCCCCATCTCTATCGCCTCGCGTTTTTTGTCTATACCCGTGACGAGCCGGGCGCAATGCCATGCTTTTTACCCGATGAGTGGATACACAGCCAATGGTCTTTTACTTAATTGGAATGGCTGGTGATGACAAAGAGCTGACTGACCGTGGGCGTGCATCTTTTGGATTCTTCTGGTATACAGTCGAGGTCATGGAGCCCCACGGAGACTGAAACGCCGGGATCGTACTGAGGGCTTCGTGGAGGTTATATGAAGCACGCGACCATGGGGGGCAGTGTCCCTTCTGATCCTTCTCTGTTTCCAACTGTCTACTACTGTGCTTGGTTGTTATCAACACGGTATAGGTGACAACTGTAGTACACAATCTCACCATGCCTGCGTCAACCAGTGATCTGTCTGACCCCAAGGAATATCAGAAGATATTCCACTGGGCCGAAACCCAGAAGGATGGTACTATTCCGTCCTTCAACACTCGGAGGAACGATCCCTATCAGGTGTGTACAGTACATGCATCTACAGCTCGATCTGAACACATGCGCTGACTGAAACCTGCAGTACCAAGCGGGTTTCGGAAACAGGTATGCTTTCGGCTAATCGCTATATTCAGCGATTCAACTTGCTGATATAGAATAGCTTCGTCTCCGAAGCGGTTCCTGGCACCATTCCACAGGGCCAGAACAGTCCGAGAAACGTCCGCTTTGGCCTGTATGCGGAGCAAATTACTGGCACTGCGTTTGTTGCGCCCCGACACGCCAACAAGAAAGCATGGCTGTACCGTGCGCGTCCAGCAGTAGCACACCAGGGATTTGTATGTAGCCCTTTCCACTCGTTTTGGCTGGTTCAGTGCTGATTGTTGGCAAGACGAATCTCCCCGACAACCCGGACATGGAATCGAATTTCCTCCCACTGAACCCTAAAATCCATGTCTCTCCAACTCAGCTGGCCTGGCACCCCGTTGATATCCCCGAATCCGAAAAAGTCGATTTCATTGCCGGCTTGAAGACCATCGCAGGCTCTGGTGACCCAACCCTTCGTGAAGGTGTCGCTAACCACATCTATGTCGCCAACACAAGCATGGTCAAGAAGGCGTTCGTCAACTCCGACGGCGAGTTCCTTATCATTCCACAGCAGGGTGCCCTCGATATCCAGACCGAATTCGGGCCTCTCTTCGTCCAGCCGGGTGAGATCGTCGTGATCCCACGTGGTATTCGCTTCCGAGTCGAGCTTCCCGACGGGCCGTCGCGAGGATACGTCACTGAGATCTGGGGAAGCCAGTTCGAACTTCCTGAACTGGGACCTCTGGGTGCCAACGGTCTCGCGAACGCGCGTGACTTCCTGGCTCCCGTGGCCAAATACGAGATCACCAAGGAGCCGTGGGAGATTGTCTACAAGCTGGGAGGCAAATTCTTCAAGAGCACCCAGAACCACAGCCCGTTCGACGTCGTGGCATGGCATGGGAACTATGTTCGTAACTGATGGTATCTGATGAGTGACAGAAAAATACTGACTTTGTTGTTGCCAGGTTCCGTACAAGTATGACCTGACCAAGTTCGTCAACGTCGGGTCTATCTCCGTCGACCACATCGACCCGTCGATCTTCTGCGTGCTGACGGCCAAGTCGCGTGACGTGAACGCTCCTCTGACTGACTTCCTGATCTTCTCTCCTCGCTGGGATGTGGCTTCACGTAAGTTGGATCATATCTTATCATCTTATCAAGACAGGAGCTCACTTGACCGGATCAGACACCTACCGCCCGCCGTACTACCACCGCAACGCTGCGTCTGAACTGATGGGTCTGATCTACGGCGAGTACGGTGGACGATCGGACGAGTTCAAGCCGGGCAGTATCTCCTTCGAATGTGGCTGTACGTGTCGAATCTCCAAGATAATAATATCAATGTCGACTAACTCAAAACGAAACACAGTCGTCCCTCACGGCGTCGCCTACGAGCAGTTCAAAGCCGCCACCGAGACCGCGCTGCCGCCGATGCAGATCTCCGAGGCGTCGATCGCCTTCATGATCGAGTCCAGCCGCCCATTCACCATCACGGACTACGCGTGGAACAGCGACAAGAAGCACGAGCACGAGCCCAAGATGTGGGACAACCTGGTCGACAACTTCTCTAGCCACGCCAAGGAGGTCGAGGAGATTCTGGCAAAGAAGGAGAAGGGGTTGCCGATCCGGGTGGATGGAAACCCTCATTAGGCGGCGGACATGACTGACGATGACGAGAATGACTGAGTATATGATTGTATCTTAGTGTCTTGTTCTTTTTGCATTGCTCTCTTTTGCTCAAAACTGTGTAAATTTGCTATCCTCTCCGCTCCTCTCCTCTCCTCTGAGTTACGTAGCCCTCGTTAACTTAGGTTTCTATGTGAAATCTTGAAATCATATCCCGTTTAGCCTTCCGATCTGGCTAATTATAACAGTATATGGGGTACATGGATCCTCATGACATAACCGATTAAGCCATTGGATTAACAATCTAACTTTATGATAGATTTTCAGTCTAGAAGCAATTCCCTCAAGAAAAGCCACTCCTCCACCTTTTTCGGTGTAGATCTCATGACCTGTAACAACCATCCGGTAATATTAAAACCCATCTTTATTTCCACCACTATCCTGCGCCAGCAACACATCCACAATTCCACCATCTCCATCTCTCCGCTGATCCTCCACCCTTGACAGCCGCGCTATTTCCCAGAAACAGAACCAGAACACCGGCAACTTCGGCCATGTCGATCTTTGTCTGTCGGATACATGGATACGGATACGGCCTTGCGTCCGCCGTCTAGCGGGGACGGGGATCGCGGCATACATACCCGGCTAGCCCGTCCTCTGCGTAGGTCCGGGATGGGGATCCAAGTGGTACATACCGGAAGGCGGAGTTGGCGGGAGAGCTATCTGTGTGTGCTATGTGTAAAATCTGAGTCAGGATAAGATCGTCTCTGTAGGAGGGCTATCTCCACGGATCGGCAAAGTCATCGAGGATGTAGCACGATGTCTGGCCGTTGGGATGGGTGATCTATTCATTGGTTGTGGGGGTGCGGTTTTGTAGGCATTTATTATCTGTAGACTCGGGGAAAAATCCTGTGAAGAGAACTCAATGAAGTTAGACAAGGACGAGGACGAGACACGGTTCCTTGCAATCAGTCTTCTGAACTATTACGAGTTTTTTCAAGTTGGATGAACGGGACAGTTTCCTATTCGGGTATTGCTGACATGAAAGCCCTATTGCAAGTATACATGCCTGCTTCATATCTCCTATGTATGCATCTATATACAGATTCTTATATACTGGTAGATATCTGACCGCTAGTTAAGCAAGCTGATCCTCCCCGCCGTCAAAGCGAGCAGAATCGGTCCATACACCCCCGGACCAGCCTCCCTCAACATCTTCATATGGGCCGCTCTCCTGCGCAGCGCAAACTGCGCCTCGTCGATCTCCCTACTCTCGCCAAACGGCCCAAATGCGAATCTTCTCTTTCCAGACGAGAAAGACGTCCAGGGTTCCTCCCCGTTGATGAATCGGATCCATCGATTTCGCATCTCCTGCCCCACGGCCTCCGCTCCAGGGTTGTGCGACAGGTCCAACCCGCCGAAGAGGAAGATCAAGTCAACCGCGTGGTGGGCGCGGGCCGACGCCTGCCACGGATTCGGCTCGTCGACCAGGTACCGATAGACACGATTCTTCCCGGCCGCCGTCGCTTTTTCGGCCAGGGTCTCTGCCGGGAGCGTGAATCGTGTGTCGTTGACGAAATCCAGCGCGCCCAGTTTGCTGGCCGTGGGACGGTCGGCCACGATCTGGTACTGTTTGCGCAGCTTGGTGCCCCAATTGGGGTCCTTGCTTTCGAATGCGGCGACTATTGAAGGCGCGTCGAAGGTTTCGATTCCGTTTCGCCAGATTACGGACTGTTTTGTTATAAGTCAGAAAATGTAGCCAGGGACAAAAAAGCTAAGAGAGAGGTGAACGCACTTCGTATTCCACTTCGCCGATCATCAGTTCCTCCACCTGCTCCAGCTTCGTCTCCCAGTCACGGAGCTCTTCTTCATCCTGTAGCCACATCCTGTTCACGTTGAGCTCCTCCATAGCCCGCACTAAAGCTCCCACGGAGCATTCCCGGAGTGACTTTTGCTCAAGTTCTCTGACCTTGTCCTCCAGACTCTTGATCAAGCCATGTCCTAACTCGAGTGGCATTGGGGATGAGAGATGGAGGGACCCCGACGCAAGGATGGCTCGCTTTATTGGCGGGCCGGTGATGAGGTGCGCGTGAGTGTACGCCGCCCCTGCACTTTCTCCAGCGACCGTGATGTTATCCTGATATACAATCAGCATTGATACGTGGCTCACAGCACACCTAACTTACTGGATCGCCGCCAAACCCGGCGATGTACTTCCGAACCCAGTCAATCGCCAGCCTCTGGTCCTTGAGAGCAAGATTCCTTCCTCCCTTGCCGTCACCAAAGGCAAAGATGTTGAGACGGTAGTTCAGAGAAACGACAATGATTGGTTTTCCGGCTTTGACCGAGTCTGCTACAATTCGTGTGGTGTCTGGAAACAAACCAGTTAATATATGCACACCCTTTAAACAGAGGACGAAGCTACTTACCGCAGATCTTAGATGCCGCAGAGCAAAAAGTCACGACTTGCGAGCCCCCTATTAAGACACTCAATTAGCGAACACTGCACAGCTTCAATTTTCTTCCAAAGCCTAGGTAATTAATCGCACCATAGATCCAGATCAAGACCGGGAGCGGCTTTCCTGATGCTGGAGCATTCTCCGGTAACGTGATATCGAGATTCAGGCATTCGAATTCATCTTCCGGCTCTTCTTTGATCTCAAAATTTTCCGGGATGCGCAGCAAGTGACGTACGTCAATGTGAATCTGGGGGCAGCGAGGTCTGTGGAAATTATATCAATAACAAAATCCTCAAAGTGCATAATGCGTGGTCATTGAGTGTTGACTTCGTCTTCCTTTGGGTAGTGTCAGGAACGTATATGCACATACCCAAACTTCGTCGCATCAATCGTCTTCCCATTAAAACTCTCTGGCGCAACAGGCTGTGCGATCTCAAACCGTCCGGGTATATTTCCATATTTGATACCTTTGAATTGGTTGAGTTTAACGCCGTGAGACTCTACTACGACGCCATTGAATGTCGCCCCCAGTTGGGGGTGGCGAACGGATGTAGTTGACATCTCCTATCCTATGCGGTGCAAACGGAATAAATCACGATGAGAGAGAGCAATGGATCAAAAAAAAGCCTTCTTGTAGGGGATCTGAAAGTATCTGATCTTCGATATGGCTTGTGGTGGTGGGTCTTGCGCTGGCTCTATATGCGGATACTCTAGCATCATCCCCTCCCTTCGATTGAACTCCTCTGAGTTATGTAAACAGTAGTCACAAAAATCATGCCCGGCCATCCTTTCAGGAATCGTGTGACTAATGAACTGAAATATGCGACGATTGGCGTTGCTCCGCAGCGTGTCTAGCATCTTTTGTCCGATTCCTCTGGGATGTGGGGCTTGTGGGGGATTGCTGGAGAGCGATGGAGGTCTTCGGCTTCTGATAACGGGAAATCTCCTGTAACGAGTTACCGCCACATCGTCAGTACTTTTTCCTAATTAGAGATGCTGTTCCTAAGGTGGGGACAGAAAAAAGCAATATTCGACAGGGGAGCTCTGCTGGCAAAGCTCGAGCTGTGTCTGGAACAGAAATGCGGGGTAACATCAGTAAACAGTACACTGGTGTAGATTTCCCAAATGAGTAGATTCCAAAGTCTTTTTTTGTAGGAGGTAAATTCTGCTGAAAAATGGAGATAATGAAGGTACATACCTCCATTTACATTTCCGTACAATAGGACAATGTGAGCAGGTCGACATGTGTGAAGATCGAAACCACGGAACCGGAAAAGTCGATAAGAACACCGTCGTGCCACTCCCAGAAGGCGATGCCTGTGTCAGACTCCATTTGCTCGACGGTGGAAGCTTCACTGCGAGTGAATCGCGGATGCATGCCAATGTCGCAGAGACATCCTTTCAGTTGTACGTACACACAACTGGGCGTTCTTGGTGACACATCCAGATGTCAGAAACGGCACTCGTCATGACGTTTTGTGGGACTATGGAATGAGCTGTGTGTGTGACATGACAACGGCTTGTGTTTGGGGAGACTAATAGCAAACATGACGACTAACGAGATCAGTGGACGAGAAACAGAATCGAGAAGATTATACTCCCTGAGTGCAAAAAGTTCATGCTCGACGTCACCAACGCAGGAGGGCAAAAAGTGTCGATCCTCGACCAGATTCAGAGACATGGTGGTCCAGGCGATGTAGCGAGCGTTATCTTTAGGTAAGAGTTAAGAGTCAACAATAACTGTCACGAGACTCGCCGACTTACGTGACAAGTCACGTCCACTGGGACCACTGTCGACCTATCAAACCCGACTTTCTCGAAGCAACAGCATATTTCGGAGCAGGAACAGCTGACGCCTGCTCTCCAAGGGCATCTGGCAGAGAAGGACTTGCAATGTGAAGGACGATTCTTCGATCTGAAAGCACGCGACTAAGAACTGGCAAGAGCTTGGCGGTCCGTGGGTGAGACTCTGGCCGTTCAAAAGGGCCATGGACTTTTGGGGGGACAACAGTTTCTAGGTCATTCAGGCACCGGGCCACATTACTAGAAATCTGTACGCGGCTGCAACGGTCGATCAGAACGAATGGGCTATCCTTGGGAGTGATTGCTCTCATTAGAGGTATTGTGTCATCTGAATGATCGGTCTCCTATATTTACAGATCAACTATTCATCTCATTTACCTCTCAAAGTCTTTGGTAGTTGAGAAACAAGCTAACGAGTACTCTCGTCTTTTATAGGGAGCTCTTCGATGGCATCCACGACGTCGCGTGCTGGACCAATCCAGACGGCCACGAGGCGTCTTTCCAAGAGGATATTCCCGCTGCGAATGACACTATTGGGAGCATAATGTACATGGAGCAAAAGTTTAGAGCGCACATCGCCTTTGCGCACAATATAAGTTTGATAAGGAAAGGAGAAGACAAGGTATTGCTATTGCTCTCGATGCTTGACAGCGACATGGAGCGACTCGTGCGGAACGAGATATTAGCAGAAAAATGCAATTGAGCAAGAATCCCAATGGCCGTGATAATAAACGAAAGAAGATGCAAAATTGTCGTTATCTAATGTGGATATCGTCCTGAATAGGCAGTATGGAAGCATGCGGGGACTTGGCAAACTTGTCATTTCCAAAAAAGGAAATAAACCATCACGACGGGAACCCTCGTTAACTTCCGTCAGCCTCATATCGTTCCAATATTATATATATTTATGAATCGGCTTATATTATGCAGTATATTACTAGATTAATATTTATCGGCAGGTGAGTGAGCGCCGATATCTGGTCGACGCCCATCGATTTGTCTACTATGGTTTCATATTCACTGAGTGAAAATCATATAATGATTCTCTTACTGTTTTGCTTTTCTAATAGATAGGATTACTAAGTTAATATCCACAAAAGTCAATTTTGTCTGAAATGTTCTAGCAATCCGCCTATTCCTTGGCAAGGACGAGAGAATTCAACAGAAAAGGGAGGAGCAGGGTGTATTTAGTCTGATATCTTATCAAATTGCGTAGCTAGCAAGCATCATTCATTATCGGCTAATGAATGGATATCTATGACATGTTTCATACTTTGTCAAAAACAAAAGAAAACCCCTTTGATCGTGTCTTCACTGAACGCCCTGCTCATGCTCATATGAGATGGCAAAACTGAATGAAGCAAAACTAAAGCCATCAACTTTTGATACATCACTTTTCTATGGGATATCAAACACTAGACTGGTCCCCAGTGTCGGGTCCTTCTCTCTTTACCTTTCTTAGATTTCCAATCCATCCTCCAAGCCCTAGGGAAACCGGGATAGCCGTCACTCCACTCAGCAATCCCAGCGTCCATGACATGGTGCCCCACCCGTGATCTTCACGTATAAACCCCGCCCAGACTGGCCCAATCAGTTCTCCCAATGCAAATGCGCAGTTCATCAAACCATAAGCCTGAGCTACCGCGCCGTTCTTTCCAAAGGCGTCGGGAGACTTTGCCTTGATGTCATTCATGACAAGGGAAACCTCCGTCATGACGGCTGGAGTCGCCATAGAGAAAGAAACGCCAATAAATGCCAACAATACACAGAGCAAGACTTTGAGGCCTATTGTGTTGGCTGAAACCAGGCGAAGAAGTACTAAAAGTGGGACGTTAAGAAAGAAGGCACCGGCGGCGAGAAGTCTCCAAGCATGTTGATGACGGTCCCCAAATCTCCCCCAGATAGGTTCCAGAAAATGTGGTAGACAGAGAGCAATAAAAACGAGTCCCTGTCCTGTCTGCCCCCAGCCGAACGTGTCTTGCACAAAGATAGGCAGGACACTGTCGAACGAGTCCATGAGGATCGAAATGACAAAGTAAGCGTAAAGGGCGAGTAGCATCCGGGGAGACTTGAGAAGGATAAATGACGATGGTAGGCGACGCTTGGGGGGAAGGGGAGATACGAGAATCCTCGGGTGACATGTTCTCTGACTGTGAGGAGCTAGAGCTACCATTCTCAGCACACGTCCTGATCTTACTCTCTTTCGCTAAGTCTGATAATAGAACATCGTGGGTACGATCGAGAGAAACATCAGAAGTCGTAGACTCGGAGGCTGACTCCCCCAGCCATTTACGTGCGTCTTTCGCTTCGATCATGACGACGCGGAGAACAATATCCACTCCTATCATAGCGAATGTGACAGCAAATACTGCGTAGTAGCCGGCGTTTTGATATATGATACCTCCGAGCAGAGGGCCCAACATGATCCCTGTGCTGAAGGACATTCCGACAAAACCCATTGCCGATCCTACCTCATGATCTCCGAAGGTATCTACCAGCAGAGCCATTCCCACCGTCCAGACCATCGCCGCCGATATGCCTTGAAATATTCGGCCAGTGATCCAAAGGGCCAGGGTTGTACCGACGCAGAGGAGAGAAGTCGACGCTGCCAACGCGACGAGGCCAAATATCAGCGGCCATTTTCGGGAGTCCATCTTGTCTGCGAGGTATCCGAAGATTGCTGATTTGGTAATTAGCCGTATATCTGGTACAAAGCAGCTACTTTATAAAAGTAGCAGGGGCATTCTCTACACTCACGCGATGCGGCCAACAGGCAGGCTCCGTAAAGAGACAGTAGAATAGAAGTCCATCGTTGGCCTATAGCATATATTATTGATTAGCATCCGAAAAAAATCAAGTGAGATTTGCAATTAACGAAAATATGGCACGCACGATCCTTTGCTGGCAACCCTACCCGCTCCTCCAAAGCCGTCGGAGCAACAGGAACAATCTATACGAAATACTGTCAACACGAACAAAACCTGGGAAGTGATGAATGCTGGCTTACTACTCCGTAAAGAAAAATGTCCTATGAATGGCCACTAAAGTGTTAGAGGCTCATCAGGGACTATCTGTCGCGGGACGGGTCAGTCACCGCGAACGAGAAGAAAACGTACTGTAAAAATGGCAAAAGAAATAACGCCGACGATGAATGGTCTCGAAGACCGCCATTTGAGGCCTCTCGGAATGGAACGCGACGGGGGAGTTTTTCTTAGCTTCTCCGTCTCATAGTCTGAGGTGGAAGACCTACGCCACATTCGTAGCATGGCTTCTCCGTGTATAGAAAAGGGATGTAGTTAGGAAAGGACAAAGAGAAGGCATTCCAGTCTCCAGTCGAGAACTGGATGGAAAAAATCAGTATATGATGTCGTCTTATAATGTATACTGCGCCAATTTCGAAAAGTTTGAGAGTTCCTGAAAGCGATTATAACACCAACTAAAATCGCTTCCAGTGAAGCAAAGTCGGCGATTCAAATAATATAAAAGGGAAACCATTGAATAAAAAGGTTCAATTAGTGAGGATCAAGACGATCACTTAATATATGACAGGATCTGTGTGACCTTCAGCGGGGAGGAGGAAAAGCAACCGCCAGTTGGAAGGAGACAGCGGATTCGGACGGAATCCGACAAAAATCAGTGGCAAGTGATCAGTCGACCGGAAGTAACAGGTGCCTAGGTAGGTAGCACAATGTCATTGATTCATTATTAGTTAATCTGCAGTTTATCCTAGTTGGGATCCTGGTTGGAAGAGCTAGTTGCGTTGGATCCTTGGATCGAAATTGAGTTTGAAGACAAAAAAAGAATCCATATTGTTATCGTGTTTCAACTCAATTGCAGGAATCATTCAGTGATTTTTGATTGTATTATAACTGATAGAGGCGCTTATCAGAAACAATAGGAGATATCTTGATGTAAGTGATTGATTTCGCTGTTGATGAAGCTGGGATCCAAGGCCGGTTTTCCTGTGTGACTTGGGAAGTTCGGGGCGAAGCGGCAAGTGACGTGTGAAAGCCGTTGTTCATGAATCGCACCTGCCTAGGTAGGTAGCTGCCTTGGAGATATCAGGCAGCGGTGACAACATCACAACAACTATCAGTGAGCAATTTCAGACACACAAGAATAACAACGATGGCGTATATTCTCAGCTTATCAAGTAAAACGATGACTGAGAAAGTAGCTGTCTAACTACTGGATTTGAAAATACCAAACACCTTGGAAAGGTTGTCTAGCGGCACCTTGTCCACATAGTCGAAGAGAGTGCGTCTCCTCTGTGTCTCACCCCCGTAGGGCTGGGAGACAACGCTGGTCACTCGCTTCTCTCTGCTGGGTCCGTAGACACGGGCTGTGAAGCCAGATTCGATATCCCCGCCCTGTACAGGAGACCACGGCGCCACGCCGTGACAGAACTTGAAGAAATCTTCCGCGAAAGCCGTAGCGACCGCTTGCTGGTCGGGAGTCAGGAACTCGTTATAGTTCTGGAAGAGGTACGCCAGGTCCAGAATGTGGCTGGATCGACCTTTCCACGGTCCATCCCAGGGGTTCTCCTCGTTGAAGTAGTAGACATAGGCGTTTCCAGGCCAGCCTTTCACGTATGTCAAGACCGGTGCGAAAAAGACGACGTCGTTAAGGAAGTCGAGAACGCCTGTAAATGCCTCCTCATCGGAGGCGCCTTCTGCGATTCCATATTTCTGAAGAAGCTCGCGCACCTCTGTGGGGTGATCGGGAAGAGCTTGATTGACAGCATCGATAAATCGTCTCGCAGCGTTATTCTTCAACTGCGGGTTGAGGTATGCAAAAACACTGATCTAGAGAGAGAGCATGTCAGAGAACGTCATATGTCTCATTTGCAGAATACCTACATCAATCTGAGCATTGCCAATAAGCAGTTCCTTGCACCAAGTCTTTCCTTTCGGGTAACTTTTGCCTTTATCTCCAATTTCTTCGAACGTGGGCATGGTGGGAATCAGATCGCCGTCTACTGCAAACCCGATGGATACGGTAGGAGGGAGCTTCGAAATTAGATCCTGGGCTGGTCTCTCGAGAAGAGCTTTGATACGTTCTTCGGGCGTTGCGTCTGCCAGACCCCACGCTTTCATGGCATCCTCGTAACCTTGCTCATGGACACTCAGGGGAAATGGAATCATCAGGAGGTTTGTGCCACTCATGGCAATTGCGCGTTTGAAAAGAGGCTGCTCTGAGTGAATGTGCTGAACCACGGAGGCTAGAGAGAAAAAGAATGTCAATGTTTGATTTGACCGATAAATAATGCACGCAGTCGACCAGACTTACCTCCTCCAGCGCTCATGCCAGCAAGCGTGATATTCTCAGGATCCCCGCCAAAGTCCTGGATATGCTTTCGGACCCATAAGATCGCAACCTTCTGATCTCTGAATCCATTGTTGGCTTTGTAGCCAGCATTGCGCAGCTCCTCTGATGTCAGGAACCCAAAGACGCCTAAACGATAACTGCGATAAGGCCAACGAGTCAGGACAAATACAAACAATCGAGCTCGGAAAATGGGAAATAGCTTATTCTTACTTGATCGACACAGCGACGATGGGATATCCCTTTTCCTGCGACAGCTTGACCAGCCGCGCGTAGTCAAATTGAGGCCAGGAATTCGCGCCCAAAACAAATCCACCGCCGTGGATGAAGAGGAAGACCGGCAGTTTCGATGCCGGTGTCGTGCCCTTGGGAACGGTAATATTCAAGTTCAGACAGTCGAGATCCGACTGAGGAATGTCCTTCTTGGGGAGGGTATGTTGGATGGCACCCTGTTCGAGGTCGCACCCGATTGTGATCGACGGCGTAGCTGGCCTGAATTCAGTTTAGACAATGAAATCTCTCTTACACACACTCTCCGGACAATTTTGCCTGGATGCTAGGGTAGGTTTCCATTGCTCACCCGTCTTTTGTAGCATCGAGGACCTCTCCATCATCCCGCCGTTCTACGAGCTCTGCTTCTGCCAGTCTATTCCGCAGCGTGGCGTATTTGATCCCGAGGTATTGCACCACTCCATCGCCAGTTTTACCCCGGATCTCGCCGAGCGCGGTTGTCTTCAGAACTGTGGTCATTCTTCTACTTTAAATCCTGAAAATTCTTGGAGAAAGTCTGCAGCTCTTGCGTAGAGTGAATGGCACACACTACTCCTCATTTCAGTTTCTGCATTTTCGGGGTGGCGGGCCTGTTCATATAAAGAGCTCCTCCACGGTGGAGGTCCAGGCCGTTTACCAGCCAGCAGTACCCCACGAAGTTTAGCTAGGGCAGAGCCATTAATTGAATATCTCGTATTCTCCTCTCTGAAGTGGGTTCTCATCCATAGATCCCGTGGACGATCCATCGGGGTTTATCCGCATCCTCGAGGAATCACCACCGGCGCAATTCTTCCGGCTATGCGTTCTAAGTTCTAGAACATGAATTCTAAAATAATCATCTTCTTTCTCTTGAACATCTGATGTGGTACAGCCGTCTGGCCCTAATGGATGCGTGTGTGGTGAGGTTGCAGCTCCCATTGTCCAGCACTCGGAATTCCCCCGCGGTGCTCCCCACAGATTCCCCACATGATGCCCCAAGCTGCTGGACCACGGCATGGCAGTCACGAGCATTGACTCTTCTAATCTTTTTCCCCCGTAAATGTATATTTCTCGGGTGGTAGCACCCAAATCCTGCAGGTTGGCACTTGCCGCTGACCAGGTATGAAGTCCTACTGCCCTTTCCTTCACCCGTTGTCAGAGCGCCGCTTTTGCCCAACGTTGGAACCCAACGTTGTGAACACACAGGGTAAGACCTGCGGGTCTCGAGCCTACAGAATGTGTCTCAACGAGAGTGAGGACGTCAATATCTAAAATAGCTCTATTTCCCAGACTGGAACTGCATGGTATAACCGCCGGTCTTCTCGTCCTTAGTGAATTTGAAGTTGTCGGTCGACAAACCAAATGGTTTGAGAACGCTGTTACCAAGCTGGAGGAAGAAAAAGAAATCATCAGTATAACCTAAATCGTCAAAGAAGCATCCAGAGTAACTAATTACCTCTTTTAACTTGCCCATCATCTCCGCCACCTCCTTATCTCGGGCAGTCTGGATCCGAGTCGGTAATTCGCGGAGCGCTTTCTGCACAATCTTCTTGTCCTGGGGCGGCAGGTTATCCATGCCGGCGAGCTCCTTATAGTCCTCCTCCGCTCCCTGCAGATTTGCCCACCCGCCTAGTTCCGCTCTCGCTCTTGCTCGTCTCATCAGCGCTTTCGCGCGGATCCGTTTGATGTCATTCCGCCGCTGGTCGTCCTGTTTGAGGCGTTCAAGCTCTGCCTCTTCATCCTCGCCTGATAACTCGACTACAGCGTCTTTATCATTCCGCGACTTGTCCTGCGTCTGTCCCGTTTTGGCATCCGCAGCAGCTGATGTCGACGGGGGAAGACACCGGTTGAGGCTCTCGATGCTGGCCGTTGCCGCATCCACAGCGGATTTCCAGTCCTCGAGTTTCAGGTAGCAGGCGGCAATATTGCTTCGTAATACGGCGATCTCGTAGTCGAGGTAGTTTGGACAGGAAGCAAGGGCACGGTCATACGTCGATATGGCGTCGGAGTAGGACGCAGCAGCAAACAGCTTGTTGGCCTCTTCTTTGCAAGCATGTGATTCGGCTAAGAGTCTCTTTATCCAGAATCAGTAACAAGTACGGAGCATGATGTGCGGAGAGCAGGGATTGTATGTATGCAACTAACAGCTTCTTCGTCAGCAGGAAAACGGGCGTCATGGAAAACCTCCTCATCTTCGCTTTCGTCGTCAGTTTGACCTGCTCGAGGTACATCTGACTTGGTATCTGAACGCGAATCAACTGCAGTCGTCTTCTTCATTGTCGACGCGATAGATGGGGAGAACAATAAATAAATAAATAGTGGTGTGGGCGGAAGTTATCAGAGTTGGGTATGACGCCAAGCTGGAAATTAAATTCCCGGCTGCTTGCTGCCCACTCCACACTAAGGAAGGACCAATAATTTTTATTTTCTACAAAGTGCGAACAGGTACACGAGAATCACTGGGAGGAACAATCTACAGACAATAGCTCAGGCAGCTGAAGATCATTATTGAATGCTGAATACAACAGCAGATACTCTGTTCTGGCCAATTACTTCGTAAAACCAAACCGAGTTAATATTAGCCGCCAAGGTACGGAGTATTGCATGATCCTCGGGAAGATCCGAAAACCTACTCCAGGTTCCCGAGGCCGCAGTGACTCCGTTTCTTATCGCAGCTTTGCCTAACAGGCATACGACATTGGGAATTGTAATTAGTGGGAAAGATATATATATTCCTAAATCATGACAGCTGAAACTTCCAAGTACGTCTTTTTTTTATGGAGTGCATTCCAGGGAATTTTTTATGCGCAGTCTTGGACTGACTGAATGCCCCTCACCCGCGCTGCAGATTGCCCCGCGTGCGGGCATGTCTCTTCGACATGGACGGCCTGCTCATCGACTCCGAGGACAAATACACGCTGATCACGAATGAGATCCTGGAAGAATATGGCAAGCCCAAGTTACCCTGGACGATCAAGGCGCAATTGCAGGGGCGACCGGCGCCAGAGGTCAGTGCCTCCCTAGGTACCTTGTTGACACTCACCAGGGCAATATTATGTGGCTGACTGTTTATTCCTTTCATCCAGGCCAGCAGGATCTTCCATGAGTGGGCCAAACTGCCCATCTCACCCGCGGAATTCGCCGAGAAGCAAGTCGCCCTGCAAGAGAAACACTTCCCTACCACGAAGCCTCTGCCCGGCGTTGTCAAACTCCTGAAAGACCTACAGTCGACCCTGAGCACGGACCAGCCAGTGTATGTCGCGCTCGCGACGTCATCACACAGCAAGAATTTCAAGCTCAAGACGGATCATCTGCAGGACGTGTTCAGCGTCTTCCCTGAGTCCAGGCGGGTCCTGGGCGATGATCCCCGGATCGGAAAGGGCCGCGGCAAGCCCTTACCGGATATCTACCTGATCGCGCTCGAGACCATAAACGCGGAGCTGCGACAGAAAGGCGAGAAGGAGATCCAGCCAAGCGAATGCCTGGTGTTTGAGGACTCCGTGCCCGGGGTGGAGGCCGGTCGCAGGGCGGGAATGCAAGTCGTCTGGTGCCCGCACAAGGATCTCCTGCAGGAATACAAGGGGCGAGAAGAAGAGGTCTTGGCCGGGTTGACAGGGGAGCATAAAGAGGAGGAAAAATCCGACCCCGAGAAAGAGGCCCATTCGTTGCAGGCTGAGCGAGTGTCTCACGGGTATGGGTCTGGGAAACCGGGTGAGATCGGGGACGGATGGGGTCAGTTGCTTTATACCCTGGAGGATTTCCCGTATGAAAAGTACGGCATTGTCATTCCGTAGATAATGATGATGATTTGTCTACGAATTAAATCTTTTTTGTTTTCACGGTAAAGATGAAATAGATCTACGACTCAATGAAGTCACAATTTATTTTTACCGGAATGCCATTCGATCTATTGGAAACATTCGCTAGTGTACAGGGGATCGTCCAAGGGTGAATTGATCCAGGGGGAAACAAAAACTCGAAGAATGCTAATAAAACAAGGTATCCGAAAAAACTGGGGCACCTGAAAACTGGGGACAGGGCATCACGCAGCCAAAACTCAAAAACTAATAACACAGGGGATATGCCGGAAAAAAAGGGGGGTGAATAAACCAGTGTGAATAAACCACAACGATGAGGACAAATTGGGAGCAAAATTGATGACATGAAAAATGGGGGGAAGATGGCAATTCCGAGTCATACGGTCAAGACAAGAAGAATGGGGGTGAAAAACAAATACTAACACAGCGAATATGAAGAAGATCAGGGGAAAGACGTGAAAATTCAGGATTATTAGGGCAATGTAGAAAAGTGCAAATAAAAAAATACAGTGGACATGAAAAAGATCGGGCAGGGGGGAAAGAGAATCGTAAAGACAAACCAGGAGAATGAATGCAACACGAATGGGGGAAAAGCAAAAGCAAAGTGAAATCTAATGGGAATCTGAGGTTTCTTGACGTGACAAAAGGGACACTTTCCAGAAGCATACCCTGATTGACTAACCATCGACTCCTTTTCTAGGAAAGAATCGATTCATTAATAGCCAGTCATGAACTCATGAATCATTTCTTTCGTGGCGTCATGACAGAACATGAAATGAAGGTGCCGAACAAAGATGTAGTCGATCAAAGTCCGTGACAGGAAGTGCCTGCGGTGATTGACGGAATATGCATCAAGGTTGTCGTTCGTTGCAGAATGAATGAGACTTAGTGGTGAGCCCTCTTGGGAGGTGGAGGCACCATACCCTCGGCGGCGGGGCCCATCTCAGCCTGGGAACGCTTACGGCTGGTTGCATTGCCTGAACCGCTGGCCGGCTGCGGACGAGGGGCCGGGCCAGTCATGGGATGATTCTGCATCTGGTTGACTTGCGGCTGAAACGCTTGCGCAGGCATGGGGCGGCTCTGGTTTTGGCGGACGGACTGATTCTGCTGCTGGTTCACCTGCTGGTTGTAGACCATATGATTCTGGTTCATGTTCACCTGCGGGTTGTATTGAGTGGCCTGTCCAGACATACGGCGGTTCTTGTTTGGGGAAGCCGACGGATTGAACTGCGGGTCATAGGTCTGACCAGCCATGGCGTTCTGGCTCATGTTCGTCTGCCGGTTGCGTCTCGGCGTTTGGGGAACAAACTGGTTCACCTGCGGGTTGAGGTTCTGGGTTTGGGGGACAAACTGATTCGCCTGCTGGCCATAGACCGTACCAGGCATCTGGTTCTGATTCACGTTCGCCTGCGGGTAGCTTTGCTGCATCGGCTGCGCAACCGGCTGGGGAGGGACCTCAGCAGGCATCGAGTAGTTCTTCTCCGTCGGGTATGAAAGATTATCATCGCCCTCAAGATAGGCGGCTGCATTGGTCATGAGAAAGCCCATGTTCTGCGCAGGACCAGCATTTTTCTGAGGATAAGTGGGCATCGCATAGCGCTGCTGCACACCATACTGGTTCTGGTGCTGAGTCGGCAGCGGAACGTAGCCGTTGGTCTGCGCGTTAACCATGGGGGTCTGCAACTGCTGCAGGACAGCGGGCGAGGGCCACTGGTTGTTCGGCAGGAACCGGGCAGCGCGGTTGGTCTGGGGGATAATCTTGGGGACCTGCGGTGCGGTGGCATTGAATGCGGCGCGCTGAGCACGAGGCAACGGGTCCGGCAGATAGTTCTG